TTATTTATGTTTAAGTTACTTTATTTATATGTCACGCCTAAAAGATGCCAAAATGTGACAAACATTAAAAGATTAAAGAGCAATTCGTCCAAAATATTATTAGACACTACTTGCGTGTTAGACGAGTACAATATTTTCAAATGTTTACTAGATTACTTTTCATTTTACTTGTCTTTTAAAGTTATGATAATTATATTTCTCTATCTATACAGGTTGACAGGTAAACATGCTGCTGTCATTACCAGATGAATCTCTGCTAATTGTTTTACGATTTCTTCATTATAAAGATTTATCCAAGTAAGTTTATGTCTTTGATATAAACTGTCAAATATTGCAAAAGAGTAAATCTTTCATTGTGTTGATAATAAACTTCTCATGGCAACACATTTTTCTTAAACATTTTTAGATTTTTTTCGATTTATCATTAACATTGAATTAGCATTAAAAAAGGAGAACTCAATTGCCATTATCAGAACTCAATGACTAATTGTATTTATTGCACTTTACATACATGGCTTGTTCCTTATTCTTTTTCATTGTTGGAACATTTTATTATTATTTTGGATGAGTAAATTGCTTTACTCCACATGCATTTATCAGGGGCGTAGCTAAGGCTTGAAAAATTATACGCATAAGCGAGGCACGAAGTGCCGAGAGGGGGAGCGTGCGGGAGGGGGTGTCCCCCTCCCGCTGGTGGGGGTACGGGGGGTCTCCCCCGGAAAATTTTGAAAAATTAGATGTTAAATCGTGGGCTCTGGCATGTCTTGAAGCACCTTTTGCACGTAAAGCATGAAGCAATTTCAAATCATTTTTCCCCATAAATTGATAAACACATAGCTGCTTGTTTCACTTTTTAACTTATTTCATTATAATTTCGAACAGATTTGTGAAGAAAAAAGGAAGTGTACGCCTTGTAGTTTTCTAATTTTACACGTGCATATAAACATACACAAAAAAATTTCCATGTGAAGTTTGATTAAGGATGCAGATCATGAAATCAATACTTCCGACATCCAGGAATCGTGCTCCCAGGGAGCTTCTAGCGGTTCTCGAGGTGAAAAGAAGCAGGGGGAGACAAAGAGGAGGAGGTGGATGGATAAGAAGGGAGAGAAGGAGACGCGACATTGGCGTCTGATTTGCTTATCACATGCCAGGTCTTGTGAATTCTGTTTTGTTTCTGCCTGGTCAGATTCATTATCGACTTGAAAAGGGTCCTGTTTTAGGACCATATAAACAGGGTCGCTTTTCCTGGAATTTGGCGGATGTTTCTTTTCATTTTGACAACTAACAACACACCAGGAATTAAATTTTGCCCCGAGTTGATGATTTTTAAAATCTTGATCTAAAACTTAAAAGGTTTAAAGTCGTTTTAAAATAGAGCCATTTCAAAGGAAACGATTTGGAAAGGATTGGTCTAAATCTTTAAGAAAAGTCTTAATAATCTTTATTTTCTGAGAATTTAACCAACGATAAGTTATTATGAGCCTAGTTTGTAGATAAATTAATGCTGAGATTTTCATTTATCTTTGTGTAATAAGTTTTTAAATGCTTCGAGCTAACAACAAACTTAAATTCCTATTGCACATATATTACGATAACAAATAGAAACGTCATATGATAGAGTGGCACACTTGTAAACAGTATGACACAACGAAATATTTTGTAAACAGAAATGGAGATCTAGAATCATAAAAACTTAGATTTTCTCAACTTTACTTTTTTACCTTTGGAATTTTTTTATATGCAATTGCGTATTGTGCTTAATGGGCGCTACGCCCTTGTTTATGGGCATGAACTATCTCAGACAATAGATATTTTGAAATGTAAGGGAAGTAATTACGAATCAAAAGCATTTAAATCTTGTAAGAGTAGTGTATCCTGTTTCTTGCATCTTACTATTTTCATATATATTTTGTTTACTTTACTGACAGATTTGTTGTTGACTAATGCCAATATTAATTCAAAAGTGTATATACCGAAATGTGACTATGAGCTATAATGGCTTTGTCAATTGTGTATTGTGAGATTTATGAAAGAATAAAGCTTCTTCTTCTTCTTCTTCTATATGCTAATTTTGTTGTGGGAACTAATATATGTTATGAAAATAGTTAGATTAATATACATTCCTATCAAATAAAGCACTAGAGCTCTTATAATTATGTCCAGCATAATGCAGGTCTTAATGCATGAAAAAGTTATGCTAATGTGATAAATTCTTAGATGTTTTACTGGCGCTATAATCCTTTTTCTGCACTACAATTTTATTGGTCTAGCAGTTTGAAAACTTTCATGTTAGAACATATTTAACATATAATAATATATTATTTCAGTGTGTCTTGTGTGAATCAGAGGTTCCATAGACTATGTAAGGATGACTCACTTTGGTGCTGGCAATGTGAACACTACTTCCTCAACTTACAGTGAGTAACTTATCAAACATTTCTGATTAATATTATGCTATTTAACTGTTCACTTATTTGGACGAAAAAAGTAAACTGCCTGGAAGCTTATTTGGTAGAGTTGTTGCTATTTCTAGTTTCCCAAGTTAGTGTTCTTGGTCAGACTGACCACTGTACAATGTTTCTCACCCTGTGACATGTAATTCATAAAACTTTATTAAGACAGAAAAAGGTTGAATCTCTTTGATAAGCTCAGGTTGTGGAAATTCTTAGGAAGGAGACTTAAAAAACATACACCTGCATTGTTCATTCAAACACTAAAAATAAACTATTAACTACCATAATCTGCTTCCAAATATGTGTAGTAAGCAGTTGACTGTCTTTACATGTGGCATTTCTCATAGATTTCTCATGTTATCTACAGTTATTGACTGATATGCACCTTCTGATATTTTCATTTTAATTTTCAGGTGTGAGAAAGGAGAGACTTGGTATGAACATTTTATATCATTGTACAAAGAATATGGTAGATACAAAAATTACAAGGAGATACGGCAAGCCTGGAATAAAATTGAGGCATTCTTAGAGAAGAACTGTCCATCCATACTAGCCACATTACAAGGTCAGCTTTGAATAATGATTATAATAATTATATTACTTCACTTGATTCATGCTTGGTTTATATAATTTGTATTTTGTTAGCATTAGTCAAAGGTATATATATAATGATAGTAGCTATATAATGAACTTTTAATTTTTTGAATTTTTTTTTACATACAATTTTTATGTATAAAAAAAGTTATTTTACTAAGTTTTAGGATAATACATTTGTTACATGGGTAATCTAGAAATATTTGTCATTTTTCTGTGTTTTGCAAAGATCAAATAAAGCCCTTCTCTGTACATAAAATGGAAAAAGAAATAAAAAAAATTGGTAGCGCACATATAAAAGTATTTCCATAATAAATAATTGTAGATACAAAGTTGAAACAGTGCCAAATCTTACAAGTTTGTGGAGATAAATTTTTCATATATATGAGTCATTGTAAGCTTATGACAATTTACCCTCCACTTATTTAAGTCATTTTAGAGTTATTTCCTTTAACCACAGACAAATAATTTATAAAACAAAAGTGCAAAAATATAAGTATTGTTTGGATTGTTTGTAGATGGAGTGTCGGAGGAGGAGTTGCGGGCAGTGGAGGAGCATATTCAACATCCACTGCCGGAGGATCTTAGATTATCATACAGAATACATAATGGTCAAGATGTCTCAGCAAGATCTCCAGGGTATGTATTCCTTGTTTATAGCATGTTTTATGTCAGTCTCAGCGAGGTCTCCAGGGTATGTATTCCTTGTTTATAGCATGTTTCATGTCAGTCTCAGCGAGGTCTCCAGGGTATGTATTCCTTGTTTATAGCATGTTTCATGTCAGTCTCAGCAAGATCTCCAGGGTATGTATTCCTTGTTTATAGCATGTTTCATGTCAGTCTCAGCGAGGTCTCCAGGGTATGTATTCCTTGTTTATAGCATGTTTCATGTCAGTCTCAGCGAGGTCTCCAGGGTATGTATTCCTTGTTTATAGCATGTTTCATGTCAGTCTCAGCAAGATCTCCAGGGTATGTATTCCTTGTTTATAGCATGTTTCATGTCAGTCTCAGCGAGGTCTCCAGGGTATGTATTCCTTGTTTATAGCATGTTTCATGTCAGTCTCAGCAAGATCTCCAGGGTATGTATTCCTTGTTTATAGCATGTTTCATGTCAGTCTCAGCGAGGTCTCCAGGGTATGTATTCCTTGTTTATAGCATGTTTCATGTCAGTCTCAGCGAGATCTCCAGGGTATGTATTCCTTGTTTATATCATGTTTCATGTCAGTCTCAGCGAGGTCTCCAGGGTATGTATTCCTTGTTTATAGCATGTTTTCATGTCAGTCTCAGCAAGATCTCCAGGGTATGTATTCCTTGTTTATAGCATGTTTCATGTCAGTCTCAGCGAGGTCTCCAGGGTATGTATTCCTTGTCTATAGCATGTTTCATGTCAGTCTCAGCGAGGTCTCCAGGGTATGTATTCCTTGTTTTATAGCATGTTTCATGTCAGTCTCAGCAAGATCTCCAGGGTATGTATTTCTTGTTTATAGCATGTTTCATGTCAGTCTCGGCGAGGTCTCCAGGGTATGTATTCCTTGTTTATAGCATGTTTCATGTCAGTCTCAGCAAGATCTCCAGGGTATGTATTCCTTGTTTATAGCATGTTTCATGTCAGTCTCAGCGAGGTCTCCAGGGTATGTATTCCTTGTTTATATCATGTTTCATGTCAGTCTCAGCGAGGTCTCCAGGGTATGTATTTCTTGTTTATATCATGTTTCATGTCAGTCTCAGCAAGATCTCCAGGCTATGTATTCCTTGTTTATAGCATGTTTCATGTCAGTCTCAGCAAGATCTCCAGGGTATGTATTCCTTGTTTATATCATGTTTCATGTCAGTCTCAGCGAGATCTCCAGGGTATGTATTCCTTGTTTATAGCATGTTTCATGTCAGTCTCAGCAAGATCTCCAGGGTATGTATTCCTTGTTTATATCATGTTTCATGTCAGTCTCAGCGAGGTCTCCAGGGTATGTATTCCTTGTTTATAGCATGTTTCATGTCAGTCTCAGCGAGGTCTCCAGGGTATGTATTCCTTGTTTATAGCATGTTTCATGTCAGTCTCAGCAAGATCTCCAGGCTATGTATTCCTTGTTTATAGCATGTTTCATGTCAGTCTCAGCAAGATCTCCAGGCTATGTATTCCTTGTTTATAGCATGTTTCATGTCATGGAAATAAAAGTCAATTTAAGGATAAATAAATAAATGAGTTTTCTTGTAGTTGAAATTATTTAACTCACTATGTTTAAGGAGATTTAACTTAAGTATATAAATTGTCTGGTAAAATAATGCAAGAGGTTTAAATTGAAACTGGGAACATGTGAGCAATATCTCGAATATTTGAACAATTTTGTAACTAAAATGAGATCAAACAGAGGAAATTTAGCTCCAGATTTTATAAAGACTGAAGTTTTTTTTTATGCTTTTTTAATAATTTTTTCATGCAAAGTACAATCATGTATAGTAATAAATTGTAAGACTTAATTTAAACATATACAATATACATTTATTGTACTGCAACATGATAGATATATATTTTTTAACTAGATTATTAGATATTATCTGTTGAATTGTCTCCCTTTGAAGCTGTCTATGCTTATCCAAACAATGTAAACAATTGGTTATGAATAATGATAGTAGGTTTTAATAAAACACAGTGCTATGTCATATTTGTCGGAAGACCTATCTGCTTGAGGGAAAGTGGCAGGGCAAAATATGTAAAATATCATATATGTATCAGTACTTTTTTTCCTCAAGCTAAATACAAGATTTATCCTATCCTTCTTTTCATCTCTCCAAAAAGTTTTGTTTTTTTTGTTTTGTTTTGGGTTTTTTCCAGAAAAATGTTGTAAAAGAATTACATCTTTGCTACTGTACATGTATTTTTTCTCTCACCACATTATATATTTTGGGAAAAAAGAATCAATTTTACGTGTCATTATATTTCAGTTTAATGGGAGGTTGCATGATATCAACACATATCAGGACAGACTCTCTTGTAACTCTAGATGATGTGAAAAGTACATACAAGGTATAAAATTTACTACTTTTGAACCAATGCATGGTTTGTGACACAAAATTTCTAGACATAAACCAGTTTTTAAGCAGAAAGCTATAAAATTACATTATAATGGACAATTTGTATTCATTGCATGTAATATAAATGTACATAATGAACAGTTAAGTGATGATATATTTGAATTTTTATGCTCCCCAAAGGGTGAGCATTTAGTCGCCGCTTTGTCTGTCCGTCAATCTGTCTGTCTGCACTACCAAATAGGGATAAGGGGCCATCTTACTGTAAAGAGAACAATAGGGTTCATTCTGTAACAATAGAATACTAGGCCATGGCCCTCTATTAAACAATAGAAAATAACAATAGAAATGGCCTTTTATCCCAATTCGGTTGGATGTCCGTCCATCCGCTATTCTTGACCGGGACATAACTTTGAAACAACAAGAGCTATCATTATTTAACTTTGTAGGTAGATAGATCTTATCAAGACGATGTGCTGTGCACAAGAACCGTAACTCTGCCTTGCCTTATTTTGGCATTATTGCCCTTTGTTCATTTTTACACTTTGAACTTTGTCCGGGACATAACTCTAAAACAATGAGAGATATCAACATGAAACTTTGTAGGTAGATAGATCTCATTGTGTAGAAGTGCAGTGCTAAAAAACCATAACTATGTCTTGCCTAATTTTGGAGTTATTGCCCTTTGTTCAATTTTACATTTTAAACTTTGTCCGTGACATAACTCTAAAACTATAACATAACTCTAAAACTATAAGAGATATTAACATGAAACTTTGTAGGTAGATAGATCCATTTGATACCACAACTCTGCCTTGCCTAATTTTATATATTTTGGGGTTATTGCCCTTTGTTAATTTTTTCACTTCGAGCTTTGTCTGAGAAATAGCTCTGAAACCATAATGGGTTTGTAGGTAGATTGATCACATTAAATAGGAGTGCAGTGCATAAGAACCTCAACTCTGCCTTTGCTTTATTTTGGAGTTATTGCCCTTTGTTCATTTTTACACTTTGAACTGTCAGGGACATAACTCTGACACTTCAAGAGGCACACTTTTCTGTGTCCAAAACCTACATGGTGAGCATCACCCGGTTCAACCGACTCTTGTTCATAATGAAATTGTTGTAATCTTTACTGAAAATAAATTTCTTTCATTTCACTTCTGTTGGTATAAAGTATGTAGATATTGGCTGTACTCAGATCTCAAGGTGTGTCAGAATTTATGCTTTTAGTAGCACCTGAGATCTTTCTTTACCGGTATTTTCTTGAGTCGCCATATAACCTTAATAGTCCCAGTGTGACCTAAACAAAATTTTAAAAATAAAACAATTTAATCATTTTAAATGTGTCATATTATGATTTGTTAATTAAAGTGACATTAGGCCCATCCAAGGGTATAAATGAGTAAAGAAATGAAGGTCAAATTAAGTTTTCATTTTGCCATAATTCCTTTTAATATAAATATTTACTTCACATAAACAATAAACAACGCATGGATTAAAACGAAATTTCCGTAAATATTCCCTAGAATTTACATGAAACATTCATTTTATAAAAAGAGTGGGGCAGTCTTTTTATATCTTTTTGGCAGATTTAAATTTTATCGTAAACATTTTCCAATATTAACTGTTGGTCAATCACCATTTTAACAGTTAATCTTTTGAAATATATAGTTAGTTTAGCTCAAGTTGACTATGAAAATATGAGCATAATGTCACTTTAATGTTAATATCTACCTTAACTAAATATTTTAATCATGATTTGTTATAGAGTTTTGGACCACTAGCTGGTTGTGTGTTTCTGTCAGTAGATAAAGTATGTCATGCTGCACAGATAATGGCTATATCAGATCAGTATGGTTACAATCAGGAAACTGTTTACTCATTCATGCATGATCGTTCCAGATCAACAGCTGACTGTTTTGTTGTGGGTATGGATTTAAACAATATACATTTGTACATGTATTGTTGATATTTATAAAGATTTTTGATTGGTTATATTATTAGTTTTTAATAATTTTGACAGGTTATATGGCCCTATATAAATGGTTGTCGGGTTGTTTGCATATATGAGCCGAGCCGCTAGCAAGGGGTTCTGTTGCAAACAACTGTTTAAATCTATAAACTACCATTTACATATATTGTAATGGCCCCAAGAACTAAAATACATGTAGATATTTTCAGTTGAACCATTGACTAGATATTGACCATACTTTTCTGTAGCATCACTTTTTAGAATCTCATTAAGTTTTTTTCCCAAAAATCCCAAAAAATCTCTTCAGCTCCATTAAGGAACTACTTATCCTCTTTTTAGAGTCCTCCTTGCCCCTTGCTTAAAATGCATCTTTCTTTCTACTTTATATATTGTAACAATTTCAGGGTCAACATTTCTGGAATGGTTATCTGATTATGCCAACAAGTTAGAACAAAACGCATTCTATGTTTTCCATGAACATATTCTTAAGTAAGTATTTTGATTTGGTGTTTAAGATTTAAGTTAGAAGGCCTCTTGCTGATTGGTTACAGTTGGTGGTTTCAAGCTTTGTCACTGACAGCTATGGGTATGGGTTTGAAACCTGCTTGATACAGTGACTTATTGGACATATAGATCTTATAAATATGATCCTACTGTACTGTAACAGGTGTATGAGTCACTCACAATGACAAATATTGATTGATTGCTTGATTGATTGATATTTCACTGTTCAAGCAAGGTTGGTGAAACTTAGTATATTGTACATATTTTAAATAGTTTGATAAAAATGTATTTCATTTGTTTCATGAAGCTCATGCAGTGATGTTGCTAATAAATCTCAAAAGTGTACACATTTAGGGCTTGATAAGTCTACATACATGTATGTACATGAATCCCAAGCAAAATGTCATTTGTATCACTGACAACACAGTCTGTAGATTGATCTGTCATGGTAACATGTCATTTTTTCACATATGTATGTTGAAGTCTGATCTTGAAATAAGGCCCGATATATATCAGTTTTACGTATACATATATATGTATCTGATTCTAAAATTTGTGCATTATTGTCTTATATAAAATGTACAGCATTTTTCCATAATTATATACATGTACATATACCATGTATTTCCTTCTATATTTTAGTTGCAGTTGCTAAAGACAATTGCTGTTTTAAGACTTTAAGTAGATGTTTCAACTAAGTGTAAATAATATATTTTGTTTTATAGATTTTATCACGAGCCTAGTTGTGTAGATGGCAACATTGGGATAACTGTTAAACCAACAACATGTTTTATACCAGAACTAAGTAGAGCTGAGCCACCAACAAACTTCTTCGCTTATAGAATAATGTAAGTGATATTTTATAATAGTGGCTAATGTTACAAAGCTCTGATAACATGCAATAGCCATGTTCAAGTGCACTTCCTGGATATAACCCTTACTGATGACATGTTAGGAGACAGGGTTGCGACATAAGTAGACCTCAATCCTGAAAACAGCTAGATTACATCATCCATAGGTTTGACAGCCAACCCTTTAAACTTTAGGCCACCTCTCTCTTTTTTCAAAAATTTGATAATTCTTTCTTTGAACAAATACTCTACATCTGTAAAATTTGTTCGTGAATTATCTTGATTGCCTTTTCAAGGATTACTGGCATACCAGTATATAGAAGTTGACTGTATCACAATATAGATTATCTCAATGCAGGTTTGATTGTTACACTATATAGTGTCTTACAACACAAGTAAAGCTGGAAAGTCTCATCATAAAAGTTAATGTGACCTAACTTATACTTTGTCTTTTAAATAGTACAAAACTATTCATTACTATTTGAATGATTATATAAGTTATAGTATACAGACATAAGAGCCGCATCATGACAAAACCAACATAGTGCGTTTGCGACCAGCATGGATCCAGACCAGCCTGCGCATCCGTGCAGTCTGATCAGGATCCATGCTGTTCGCTTACCAACTCTATTACAAGTAGGAAACTGATAAAGAACAGCATGGATCCTGATCAGACTACGCGGATGCGCAGGCTGGTCTGGATCCATGCTGGACACAAACGCACTATGTTGGTTTTGTTGTGACGTGGCTCATATATGTTTACAGAATTGAGATGGCTGAGGATACACCATCAGATCTGTCGTGCCAGCTTAAATCCAGGTACTGGCTCATTAAAGATGGGGACGGCAAGGAGGAAGAAGTCTCTGGTCCTGGTGTTGTTGGTATGAAATACGAATAAATTCTGTTGATTTCAGATTGGTTCTGATATTGTTTATAGGGGAGTGTGTAGCAGAGTGGTAAAGGTTGTTGACTTCAAACCACTTGTCTCTTACCCTTTGTAGGTTCCAGATTCCTCATGTGAGAAAGCTATCCAACTAGCTTACGGAACATTGGTGGTTCTATCAAGTGCCTAATTATATAAAATAATGCACAGAGGGGTACCTGAGGTCTTCCTCTAACAGTAAAGTTGTCATATGACCTCTACTGTGTGCCATGTTAGACTCAACAAAAAAAAGAAGTCATTTATATATTTTTGATTAAGAACTGAATTGAACTTATAATGAATATCATCATTTTTTATTTCTGTATATTTAGCAATTGAGCAGTTGTTTGTTGTAAAACAGTTTAACTGAGTCACTCAAGTAAGGTGAAAGATCCTTATTTATCATGTGACTTAAATTGTCAAACTTACGCTAAACCCATACAGTAATAATGTTGAATGTTTGTCTGTACATCATATTCAAACCGACACTGTGTTGAATCATTACAGGAGAGTACCCAGTGATGAAACCAGGTGCCAACTTTGCTTGGATCAGCTGCACTACATTTGAAACTTCAACTGGAGAGATGAAAGGTCATTTTATATTCACCAATCTCAGGACAGGTAAAACACATATTGTTATTATCACATTTTATACAGATTAATTTTTCCGCATACTAATATCCAGAAAGCTGACCTGTAGGAGGTTCTATCCTGGGGAGCGTTTCACCAACATTCCATAAGTTTTGCGTATCTTTTTACGTAAATTTGGACTAAGGCAAAACGTAAATTTACGTTAATTGCTTTTCATTAAACAGAATATGCAATTTACGCCAGTAATTAGTGAGTGTAACTTTACGTTTAAACTTACACAATTGCTTAGCTAAGAAAGTTTAGTGAAACGCAAATAAATATTTAAATTATGCTTACGCAAAAAGTTATGATCAAACTCCAGTTATGATAACGTAAGTATGTTAGGGAAACGCACCCTAGGTTCCTGCTGGTGCTTGACACAAGTCATAAAACATCAGCTAAGTCTCCTCATTACCCTGTAATGCTTGAAAGTCATCATATATCTTATACCTTGAAAATCATTAATTATAGTAACTCTACAGATTTTTCACTTAAATAAAATCCTTGGTTTTTTAAGCATTCTTAATTTCATGTGTTATTTAATATAGTTTAATTCACTATTTCAGTTAAAATACTGAAGAAAAAAGATTAATTATGATATTATTATTTACTTTAAAATGAAACAACCTTTTTTTTCTTCTCTCTTTTTTGAGCTTAGTCCTTGCGGTTACTTTGTGTAGAACTTTAATGTGTTAGATAAGATAATTGTAACTAACTTACCAATACTAACGTTGAGCAGCCAACATCAAAATGCTTAGATGTACAAGCTGGCCTGGCTCTATACCAATAGCATAGATTTGTGTAAATGTTTATATAGTCTAAATATGTAATATATAACTGATTACTTACCATAAATAATGTGCAGTGTGTTCAATATAAGTACTAAACCTCAATCTTTGATATTATTTTAAGGTCAACTTGTTTTTGTTGGGGTTTTTTTAAGAAAAATTTTCAAAAACTTGAGCTGTTGCTACAATAAATGCATTCTCCCATTGCTGTTGCTGTCAACATTGATCATAATCTTTTTATTATTGTCTTCATACGTGGACATTACTACTCTTTATTTTGGTCAAGTAAATCTTAAATTTGTCATATTTTTATGGATTTGATTCATACATGACACATATGATAAAAGTGACATGTTGAATTATTCAAGTTTGACCTTGAGGACCAAGAAGGTCAATGTATTGAATTTTGATTAAATTGCCATAACTTTATTATTAATTGACAAATTTGAGTCATACTTGGACAACAAACAACACTAATTACATGGACATGTTAAATAATAAAAATATTACCATGATCTGTAAATGAACTTTACCATCAAGGCCGATATTAAATTCTGTATTATAAAAATGATTAAGTCTCTGAAATCCCCTTCACGATAATGGTCTTCTTCTGATTTGTTCTCCTTTGGAAAAAGGAAGAAGGCAAGCATAGCTTATATTTAAAAATATCTTAATAGATTTAGTTTTACTTATGTTCTTTATTTTTTTTTTTTTTTAGGAGATGAAACAATTGTTCCATGTCCTCTGTTCCGTATGACAGCACCTCCTTGTTTGACAGCTGCAGAAAGACGGGAAATAGTGAAATCTAGACAGAATGAAAACGGATGAATGGATGATCCATGTTTATTTGGTTTACCATATACTTTCACATAGTTCATTGTGTGGCAATTTACTATAGCGTTTTCTCTTTTATAGCAGAAAAATTTATAGCAGAAAAATAAGTGTTAACTTTAAAGTCTTAGTACCAGTCTTGGTTGCTCAACTGGTTACCTAAATATTTTTTAGAAAACTACATAAGTTTTTATACACTTTAGTGGATAAAATCAATCTTTGGCAATCATTGAATGTTGCACATTCATAAACAATCATTTTTGAGATTTTGTAGAAAATATTTGCTCAGGGATAGCTGGACATTTGTGCCCCATTAGTTAATTCAATTTTAAAACTTATACTGTACTGGTTTTAAAATAGTTTGGGTACGGTCAGTATGATTACAAGTAAAAGCTTTGATGATAATTATAACTAACTGTAGATTCAGATAAAATGTTTACATGTAAATCTCTCAACTGGTTTGTACAGTCTTGCTTTCACATAAAGTGTGTTCAGTTTATCTTGTACTGTGTGTTTACAGCTCAGTGCCCTGGCCGACCACAGTCACACAGCTCACAGGATTAAGTGTGATCAGGTCTGATCAACAGTGTGTCTGTCTTTGAAGATTACATTTTACTGTCATATGCTTTATAGTATCTAAGATATTTTTCTTTGTCTTTTGTTCCATATATATTATTGTGATTGGACAAGTCTTTTGTGCTTATTTTAAGCTCAGGTGAGCTTTTGTGAACACTAAAAGCAATATGTGTTGGCCATCTGTTGTCCATATCCATACTTTTTTTTAACATTATCTTCATGTAAACCACAGGATGGATTTGACCAAACTTCACAGGAATGATTATTAGGTGGTTTCTGCAAAAGTTCTGTAAACAGTGCAAGTCTTATTACATGAGGCCTCATAGTTTATTTAGCCTTATCCCATTGAAAGCATATTCAAATATCTTTACCTCCAAAAGCATTTTATATTGGGTATTTAGCATCTCCTATTTGTCCATTTTAAAAAGTTTGCCCTTGGGGTCAAAGTTTGCACTTTTAATTTGTATATTGGAAAACACATTTATGTCTACTTGTGTAAAACTACAATACCTATAACTTTTTAGATATTTGGCATATAGTATTTCCTAGCGGACCACTACAATTTATATAATAAAAATGACACTCCTAATGTGACCTTTCACTTTCTTCTACATTGAAGAAAGCAATGTATGTTAGGTGAACAATCTATGGACATCATAGTCCTCTTTTTATGATTGACAATTTTTCTAGAAGCTCTGTTTTTTTACTTTTCCTTTAAACATATTTTTATTCATACATGTAAATATTTGTTAATTGGTAATTTTCATTTGTTTTGTTTTCATATATTTATTACTTGGCTATTGTTTGATTATAAGAAGGCAGTCTTTATTTCTACTTCAATTAAACCAATTTGTTCAGTCAATGAAATAAAGATCAAAGTGTCAATGATTATTTTTTAAGCCACTAGCTTACTCAAAACAGAAATATGCAACCAAGTTTAGAGGTACCTAACAGACTGTCACTTATTGCTGATTTGAAAGTCAATTATACCTGCCAAGTGTCACTTTATTATTATTGTTTAAAGAAGAAACTATGAAGATGTGTTATTATGAATATTAATTTATTTATACATAGTATACAATTCATGTTGAAAACATACATGACTAGGACATTGTTAAATTATGAATGCAATACATTGTATATGGAGAAATACTGAAATTATTTTGTTTTATGTTTGGTCCCATAAAATTTAAATGTATAAAAACTATACATTTACAAATATACATTGAATATTACAAATGTAAATAGTTTGTAAGTTGCTATTTCTGACTGGTGATATAAAAAAATTTTGTAAACTCTTGAACATGCTTGAACCAAAATGGAATAGTCTGTCACCAGTATAGCACCAGACCAGCCTGCACGCCAAGGCTCTATACCGTTTTTAGTTCAGTTTTTGTATTATTTTTTTATTGAAAATCCCTTAAACTCTGAAGAGACTGTCACAAATTTAAAGCTGGTTAAATTTATTACACACACCCAGCAGGTTAAGGATTAAGTTCCATATTTATATATTTAATGAAGGGTTATACCACATAACTATACTCGTATATGGTAAAATAATAATGTCAGTGTAAAATAGCATCTTACAGCAATAGATAAACTCAAGTATTATTTTTGCATATATTTCTCAGTGCATATCATGTTTAAATCTAACAAGGTAGAAATGGCATCAGGTGCATATGAAAAACTCTTGGCTTGTATGTCACTTTATATATATGTACACTCAGTTAATCAAACGAACTGCAATTACAACCCTATAAAGGTCATATATATATATATATATATATATATATATATATATATATATAATATATAATATATATATATATATATATATATACATGTTCTAGTACATAAGTCACTAAAAACAGCATATTTAAAACTCCCTGGAATAGTACTGGATAAGACATTAGGCAAGTCAATATTTTTGATCCTGTAGGCAGTTGTTTCCTACATTAGTTGTGTCACAATGTATATTCCCAGGTACTTTTACTCTCTGAATCAATGGCAGTAATATGTTCTTCAAAAACCTGAGACAATTCTTGTATGGAGGTACATGCTTGTGGCAAGTGAACAGTGTGATCTCTTGGTGAAAATACCGAGACGGATTCATCACTTGTAAGTTTTACCGTCAGCTTTGGAACACATGTGCAGTCGAAGCCTGACCATTGCTGGAGAAATTTCCGCAGTTTGTTCCGGGATATTTTATGTAAATACTGTTCAAATAATACTTTCACTTTCTCTTCACTCTTACTGTTTGGTTCTTCCGAGTGATATGAGACTCGCTGTAAGATTGTTGGCACGGAAGGTGTAAGTTGTTGATAAAGCTGGATAATATCACTCTCGCTGATTTCTGCAAGTTCAAATCCCGCTGCAGACATACCGACTCGTAACTGGCAAAGAGACCAATGCGGTTGATAAAGCAGGAACGTCTTGGCAATACTGATCATGGCAGCGTCTAGTTCAAATGAATCTGGAATGTTCTTGCATCCATAACTTCCTAAAACCACTTTTACACATCTTTCAATTTTCGCAGAGTAATGTTCTGCGCCTGATTTAAGTTCTACAATTGCTGTCTCTAAGACATCCTTCTCCGAATCTGACATCACCTGGTAAAAGGAAGTTAGAGACAGTTGATCAGAACATGACTCAGTAACGAGAGCAGCAAGGCAAGCAGGAGAAAATCTAACTGGAAAATAGTTCCCAAGTACCAAACCATGTACAAGTATCCTTCCGCATACTTGGAAGAAATCGTTAGATGAAGATGGGTCTAACAAAGGAACCAGATGATGTGTCCCTGTAAAGTGGATTCGGAACGCTTCTTCCCAGAACATGGCAAATAATGTACTGGGGTTTACTTGGTCGTCTGGTTGCATACATCCGTTCTCTTGCGAGGCGTGAAGTTGGAAACAAATAGAAATCTTGTGTTTCTCTAAAGCAGAATCTTCTCTGTATGCATTAAGTAGATCTATGAGTAGAGATTCCGGCCTGATGTGCAAATGTTTGGTCTCTTTCAGACAACGTTTAATGTCTCGTGCCATTTGGAGTATCTTTATACCATCTATGAAATAGAACAAATGGAGGTATATGTATATCCTTGAATAGTTAATAGTATTGTAATGAGAAAAGGACATTTATCATTGTTCATCTTATATAATCACGTTTGCAAAGAAAGTTTAATACAGAGGTTAAGTACAGGTTTTCAAAGAGTAACCAGCTGAAACCTTTAATTTTGTTTACTAATTACCAAAATAACTGTCTGTTCTTTCATCATTTGTATCCATTTCTTCTTTAGGAGAGCAACTTCCGTTGACACTTTCCTTCCCCTAAAAATAACAAAGAATAAATCGATACATTTATCAGTTTTATATCATGATATTTACGAAACGATTTTTCATTATGTAGAATGAAACACTGTTGCCGTTTATTCTCTTATCTTAAAATGCTCTGAAAAATTATTGTATATATGATTGCAATGATGTTTTTCGTCAATATGAGATCGTTCAACTTAAAAATAAGTAAATGCCTTTATTTACTTATTTTTGATATATAATACCTACATTTGTGTCTATCAGCACCGACCCTGGCTGCCGTGGAAACACAGGTAATTCTCTCTTTGTGTCGGATATTTGTTTCTTATCAACCTCGGGTAACAGTTCAGGTAGACTTGTCAATGGGATGTTGAAATTCTGTAGAAGAGTTAATGGGTTGCCTAGCGACGGAGCAGTGTTATTATTGTATACATCATCAAAGTTTCTGTGAATAACTGCAGAAGGTCGGTCTTCTTGCGAGTCCTGAAATAATGAATGAAGCTTAAGACCGGTATAGGACAGCAAAAGTAAAAATCTACCAGTAATCCAAGTGGCTTTTCAATACATGTATCTGTTTCAGAGGGTTCGTACACTCACCATTTGATACCAGTACTGATTAGTTCAGGAAAAAGAAACATTCAAAAGTGGTTTTATATTCTTAAACTTGTTCCAGGCTTTAGTCTGATTTTGATATCTAGGTTCTCATATTGATACTTCGAATGATCATATTAAATTTAGCGTTTACATGAGTTAATAGGCACAATATGGACATACCGTGACATAATGTTCAGCATGCCATTATAACTTACTTGGCCATGGCAGTGCCATTACGACCTACAAGGCTTATATATGATAGTATTATTAAGATTTACATGTGGTAGAAATATCAAGATTTATTTATGGTGGTGATATGTACGACTTACATATGGTATAACAATAAGGCTTCCTTGGTATTTCATGTCTTTAAGTTGACGAGGTGAGTTGGCCTCTACTCGGATCAGCCTGCGTGTTTTGTCAATACGGTACATATCGTATAATCGACCTTCCAGTTTGGGATATAGGGCCACCATGTAACCAATGAATTTCTTCTCGTCAAATGATAGACAGAGCTGGGTTTTCCTCGGTATACCGTTGATATAATCTTGTGAAGGATAACCTGCACATTATAAAATGATGTTATTTATTTTATAATTGACTGGTCAAAATTCAATTACACTAAATTATGTAGAGAAAAAAACATTCATCTTTGCAGTAAATAGATTTACTAATTTTATTCAATTGATTTAATTTATGATGGAAGACAATTTAAATGAATCTGACGATGTCGAATGCAATTAATTGCGCCATTCATTTGAATTGTGTTTTGCCAAATTTAGACATTCTATTTCCCCGTTTTCCTTGGCATTTAATGTCTGCTGTTTTTTCTATGAGAATTGCTTCAATTAAGTCTATAACAGAGCTTATTATCAATTTAAATGACCTAACGATTCAAAGCAGTGATGCCGTGTTCATTGAAGTCTTCAGTCATCGGTTTTTTCTCCTTGCTACATTTGGCGGTGTCCTGCCTACGAATATTTCCCAATACCAAGTAATGACGTAAATTGACAAATTTAATATAACATAAAATTACTTGATACTTCTTCATTACGCTTATAGTTTCCACATTCCGCTTACTTCTAATCAATAGCCTCATAAAATCACATTTCGATTGATTTTTACCGAGCTCCGCTCTTGGCTTTGATAAATAGATTTTTCATTGATTTCTTGTCTTCGTGAAGTATAATTCCTATTTTGATTACTTGTAATAGCATTTTGAGTTGGCATTTATTTCAAGTTATGATTTGAAAATTCATTTATTACAGCGAGTAATTTGGTTTTCCAATATTCCATGAATATTTGACTGGCTGTAAATGATCAATAGTGGTAGGCGCTGTATCGCAGATTTTGCCACTGTCCCTATTCCTTAGAATTATTCATCTGTCAGAATTTATTCAGAAATTATTTGATAAGATTATAACTGACGCGTAGAGCGACAGCGACATCGCATCAATAGAATAGTTCATAACGATATTTATGAAACAAAGGCAAAATAATAACCATTCAAACGAGAAAAAATTGTCGTCTGCAGAAATCTTGTAACAAAAGCTCTACAATAAAAGGAAATTACAATATTAATTGCACATCAATGACGGGTGTGTGCTTTGAAATGAACAATCTAATTTTATTTATTTCCCTTTTAACAAAATACAATGAGAGCGTTCATAAAACGCTCAAGATACATTTTCTGTTTTCGTCTGCGTTTGATTCAAACCCATGTCGATGAAACATTTTTGTGACACAAACATTATGACAGCGTGAATATATATAAAAATAAAATTATTCTGCATTTTTGGCATTCTTAAATTTAAAAATCTATTTCTTTTAAGCATGTTAAAAGAACAAGAAAATAGTAACGGCCTCAATTTCATGCGCATGTATGGTAATATTGCATTTTACTTCCACTTAAAATTACTCTTGTTCTGAAAAATGAAGGCGCGAAATTTTTATATTTTCAATAAAAAAGATATGAAAATGGTGTTAACATAAATTTTGTGATGATAGCCTCATATAATGGAGTATACAAAGTAAAAGCACTACTTCGTCAGTATTCAAACTATAAATGTATAAAACATAAACTATAAAATGATACAGTCACCAAGCATAGAATGTATTAGGAATTATATTACATGTTCTCAATGAATAAATAACTGCAAACAAATATATTATTGATAAATTTATGAATATCAATAAAATATCCGTTCAGTTGATAATTATATTTGAATGTTTAAGACGCAGAAGATTAAGTTTTCACTGAGAAGATTTTGAGATAGCAATATTTTACAAGTACTCAAGTACTGTCCTGTTCAGATGAAAGTACATCAACGACGTGTATTTCTTCTACACTTTTTTGATAGCGTTTCATTTCATACTTACTTTCCACACATTTTCAAATTTGTACGGAACTACGAAATCTAAAAGTTGAAAACAGTTTAAGCCAATGTTAAAAGCGTCTTTTATAAAATGCGATTATATATTATCAGTGTACACAAACATAAACCCAGAAACAGTCTCGGGTAAACACTTTCTGATTTTTGCTGAACAGGGAGAGTGATTATGGACCTTTTTTCTTGATAATGCGATTAAACAAAAGTACATCTTTCGTCATGGTTTAATTGTTAAATGTGTTGCCGTTTCATTTAATAATTCAACAACAGTTCAGTCATCTCTTACAAATCAACATTATTATGTGTCTGAGTTATCAACTAAAGGCTAGCAATTTGTCACAAGTGACTGCCAACTTCTTTACGCATTAAGATATGTGTATAATTTGGTACCATAAAGAATTTTAGAGTTATGGAATAGATGTTGCCACTTACCATATCCTTCTAGTTGGTGTTGATCTACTAGCGCCCTTTCAATTGGGTCAAGTGAGGAAAACTTCGGAAGTTTGGAGTTCTTATCAGGTAGACAATACATAAATACTGAGAACGTCTCCTTTTCTTTTGGTCCGCGTTTCTTCTTATCTTTTTGTCTCAGTAGTTCCATTGCATGCATGATGAGTCCCGGGTTGGCAACAGCTTCAAAACGGCCAAAATTATCAATGCCTGGTCTCAGTATTCTGCCATATTTGTTTCTGATTGGTCCAATGGAATTGGTATGACGTATTGGTGCAGACAACTGAAAGTTACCATTTGCGACCGCTGCGGCAGCTAGCATGTTCAAATCTGGCTTGATATCACCATTGGCTTGAGGAATAGTCGCTTCAGGCAGTTGATTGTATACAAATATTTTACCTTCACTTGAATTTTGCGCTGTAGTGGATTGTCCTTTTTGTTGTGACTGTATAATTTGCGCAATTGTCGCTGGTTTCTCCGTCTGACTGCGTTTCTGTACCGTTTCTTGACCGGACAAATTGTTAGCATTCATAACTATCTGCCTTGCAAACTCGGCCATCAATTTCGGATCCATTCCAAATGTAGCAGGGTTTGAACCAACCTGGATCGCACTAGGACTCGGTGCTTGTTTTTTCTTCTGCGAACTATTTTGTTCAGCGGAAGTTTCTTTTGGCACCGCCGTTTCAAGTTGAGTCTGTACTTCCTTCATTGCATTCTGATTTTGCATCATCATTGACGCAAGCTGGATCATCATCCGGGTATTCTCATCCGAATCCATCATTTCAATATGTACATGTCATCTACAAGACAATACCTTTATAATTCTACAACATGTTCACATAAAACGAACATAAATAAATGTTTCGTACTAAACATAAGTTTTATAATGAATGTAAATCTATCACCAACAATTACCTAATTACTCACATTTACATTAGATATTATAACCCTTAGATCAAAGTAACATACGGTCGATGCTGGAGTGTCCTAAAAGTCAGCTTTATTAATTGATACTTTTATATCGCTTCATACTGAGAGGAAATATTCATAGCCTTAAAAGTCACCCCGAGTTCTCAAAAATATATCAATAAAAACACCGTGTTTATATAGCTCATTCAACCATCGATAAAACAATAACCTATGTGATAAAGAAAAGATTCATTAAAACGCAAAAAAGATATAAGTCTGTTTTACCTATTAAATCACATCCACAAGTTTCAAATAATCCTAATGGATACGTCAAAATTTATTAGCCAAGCTCGGTCCAATCTCATAAATGTCGTGAACAAATACAATCGATTTATTTGAAGGAAACTTTATCAGGACGAATATAATTTACTTTATAGCATAAATGGCATTTTATGTTTATTATACCGGGCCACGTGATCTTGTATAAATGAATCGAGATAATGGTATTTTCATAACGATAAATTTGTTACAATCTTGTTTCAGATAGACTGATATTATGGATCCCTTACCGGACAACGTTAATTAGCCAATATATAGGCATAAATAATAGTCGAAATAATGCTATTTAGATAGGTATACATGTCAGGTTTAAAATCCCAAGTTAACGTTTCAATTTACATTAACTCTATGATGACTATAAACGTTTAAACATGTTTAATATTACGATGCAGAAACTATGAACACGTGCTCTAGCTATAATGGTATTTATAAGTTGAATATCAAACATAATAATATTTAGACTTTAGGTTTTTTATTACTTAATCAAAAAGCGTTTCAACATAAAATTCTTCAAATATCATAAACGAATAAAAGTAAATATTTAAAGGCAGAAAATTACAAACAGGCTTAGCATACGAGAGATATTTAAACAGGCATGGTAATTTAATTTATTTGTGAGGTCGGTCGAGTACATGTAAGTATACCATTTCCCGTTAGGCATATGTTTCGTAAAAAAACACCAGTTATACTGCTTTGATTCGAATAGTTAGGTTTCATATAAGTTTCTTACTTTGTTTCGAGACTTTTATTCTGAAATCGATACTAAAAAAAAGTATTAATTAAATTCTGTCGGCGCATTCCATCTTTAAGGAATAAACAATAGTACTAATTAGTTGATTTGGGAATAAATATAATTAGGTCTGAAATAAGAAACTTGTGAGATTTTTTTAAAAGTGAAATAATTTCAATTTCATTCAGTACTGTAATAGTCTCAGCATATATTAATACATCCGTTCTTGATAAATGATAATAGAAAATAAACGATAAATTAATAAGTCTTTGAACATGCAGTGAAGATTCGAACCCATTATTTTCAAGCCTCAACTCTGCCACAGACACGCCCACTTGACAGTTTACAGCGCGCAGTGAATTTACGATAAAAGCACGCGAGGCGCTGCGTCCGGCACAGACAGCTGCGCGCAGTTTCTCTTGTCAAAAATATATCTAAAATCATTGTTATTTGTTTTATCATTTTGCCCGCATGCATTAACATTAAAATTCAAAATTTAAATTAAAGTTCACATTTATAAAATATCAAGTAAGATTTAAATAAACATGAGATTAAGGACTGACAAAACGTTTTATAAAACAGTGTAGATAACAAAATACTTCAAAACTATTTTACTGCTGAAAAATATCTTTCCCATGAATCAAATTTAGATCAATAAATTTTAAATACATTTCAAAATACTTTTTAGATACAAAAGTTTAAACTTACCAAAGTTTTGTAGCACAGGTCCTTCTTGCAGATGATCGAAACAACCACTTTTACCGAACTATTTTACTTTATTGTCGTGCTTGGTGTTTTTTCTTCTAAATGTCCCGTTGAAATTATTATTGCCCCATCAGAAAAAAAACTCTCTTTGTTAGGTCCTAGTTATTTCTTCTAAACTAAATAACACAGATGTACTGGTGATTAAATTGGATTTCGCGCTCGTTGCTATGGCTACAGCTCCGAACATAATAATTTTATTAGATGCAGTATCTTTACTGTAAATTCCATTTCGAAACGTTGTGAATAATTAGATAGGCTTGGGCTATAATTCTATATTGATTTGATATTGCTCGAGCGCAAAGCAGTTAAGCATTATTATTATACCAATGGAAATAGCGTTCCAAACTCTTGAAAACAACGGATCAGCAGGAAATAACGGCCCATTATTATTGCAATTATCGTTATGACTGAAATATTACACATATGTAAACTATATTATACGACTGAAACCCCACTCCACATCAAAATTATGCTGTTTAGCATTGATACGGCAAAACTGGGTCAAGTTAAGTGAAAAACTTGTATAAATAAATTATATTGAGAGAACGGTTTTCTTATCGCCAGCGAGAGTATAAACTTTGATAACGTCTATTATTTTACACTTAATTTCGTTTGTAACTGAATACATGATTATAAATAAATTATTTACGATAAAATATAATTATTACTATCGGGTTACATAGTTAATGGTATTACAATAAAGGCTGGGTTTGCATTACTCAAGTTTCTTGCTTATAAAACATGTGCGGAACTGCTAGATTATTACTTGATTATTCAATAATTTACGCAATATGTGGGGAATATTATTACATTATACATGATTCAAAGGAGTGTTCTACATCGCACAGAGTGATACGTAAAAGTATTTTTTTTAAATTTGAATTGAATCATTGCGCGTTTGTTAAATTATTCTTAATTTATACAATAGATGAAGCAGCGCGTTCACCGATTCGCTTATACAGCAGATCTAACACATCTGATAAAAGTTTCACTTTCGAAATATTTCAAAGAAATGAAAATAACGGTAATAAAACACTTTTCTTGGTTATGTCATTTACTTATAATAAATCAGGAAAATACAGGCCCACGGATTTTTATATTCAGTTCCAAACCCTATATCTGCAACTTGCTAAAAGACACAACATACGGGCTAAAGGCAGTGATACGCAAAACTACTTGAAGTAAATGATAAAGATGGTATATCCCAACAACTAGTATACAAGGAAAACGTGGACATGCTCTTATCCAAGTTTTAAATCAAATAAGAATTATGCTGACACACAAGTACTACCATTCAGTCACCGAATTTATAAATGTACAAGACCAATATATATGTATTTCACCTCTTTTCCTTGAAATTTTATTCCAACCTTTACAAGTTTGCGTGTCTTCAGACAAACTTTTAACAATCAAAATACAATAGGAATTAATAACTTGGATAATTGAAAAGCTGTTATATAGAGTCAATGCAGTGATTTATGCTTTTCGATATATTAAACAAAGGGAGATAACTCAAAATGAAAAAAAACTACTTTGACCATTTTTGCCCGTTGCTGTCAAATTTATCAAACAACCACTATCAATTGGTAAAGTCAAGTTAAAATACTGCCCTTCCTGAACTTTTCACAGTCAATGTGAGTAATTGACTACAGGCCAAAGAGAAGAATGCTAAATAAACCATTTACTTACATGTTTCCATGACTACCTGACTGTCGTCTTTACTGACATACCTTTGTGACTATTATGCATCTTTTACTGCCTGACTGCCGTGGTTCTGGACTGGAAGACTGTCATACTCCTGGACTGTTTGACAGTAATGCCCATGTGCAACGAATCATAATTCTACTTTGATGTCAGGTCAGACTGTCCTGCTTCTGGACTGTTTAAGATGTTTCTATGACTATCTGTCATCCTTTTGTGACTGTCTGACTGTCATGTTTCTGTGTCTGACTGTAGTGTTTCTGTAACTGTAGTGATTCAGTGACTGCCTGACTGTCATATTTCTGACTGTAGTGTTTCTGTGACTGTCTGATTGTCATATTTCTGACTGTAGTGATTCTGTGACTGTCTGTCATGTTTCTGAGTCTGACTGTAGTGTTTCTGTGATTGTAGTGATTCAGTGACAGCCTGACTGTCATGTTTCTGTGTCTGACTGTAGTGTTTCTGTGACTGTAGTGATTCAGTGATTGCCTGACTGTCATGTTTCTGTGTCTGACTGTAGTGTTTCTGTGTCTGTAGTGATTCTGTGACTGCCTGACTGTCATGTTTCTGTGTCTGACTGTAGTGTTTCTGTGACTGTAGTGATTCAGTGAGTGTCTGACTGTCATGTTTCTGAGTCTGACTGTAGTGTTTCTGTGACTGTAGTGATTCAGTGAGTGTCTGACTGTCATGTTTCTGTGTCTGACTGTAGTGTTTCTGTGACTGTAGTGATTCTGTGAGTGTCTGACTGTCATGTTTCTGTGTCTGACTGTAGTGTTTCTGTGACTGTAGTGATTCTGTGAGTGTCTGACTGTCATGTTTCTGAGTCTGACTGTAGTGTTTCTGTGACTGTTGTGATTCTGTGACTGCCTGACTGTCAAGTTTCTGTGTCTGACTGTAGTGTTTCTGTGACTGTAGCGATTCTGTGAGTGTCTGACTGTCATGTTTCTGTGTCTGACTGTAGTGTTTCTGTGACTGTAGTGATTCTGTGACTGCCTGACTGGTCATGTTTCTGTGTCTGACTGTAGTGATTCTGTGACTGTAGTGATTTCTGTGAGTGTCTGACTGTCATGTTTCTGTGTCTGACTATAGTGTTTCTGTGACTGTAGTGATTCAGTGAGTGTCTGACTGTCATGTTTCTGTGTCTGACTGTAGTGATTCTGTGACTGTAGTGATTCTGTGAGTGTCTGACTGTCATGTTTCTGTGTCTGACTGTAGTGTTTCTGTGACTGTAGTGATTCTGTGAGTGTCTGACTGTCATGTTTCTGTGTCTGACTGTAGTGTTTCTGTGACTGTAGTGATTCTGTGAGTGTCTGACTGTCATGTTTCTGTGTCTGACTGTAGTGTTTCTGTGACTGTAGTGATTCTGTGAGTGTCTGACTGTCATGTTTCTGTGTCTGACTGTAGTGTTTCTTTGACTGTAGTGATTCTGTGACTGCCTGACTGTCATGTTTCTGTGTCTGACTGTAGTGTTTCTGTGACTGTAGTGATTCTGTGAGTGTCTGACTGTCATGTTTCTGAGTCTGACTGTAGTGTTTCTGTGACTGTAGTGATTCTGTGAGTGTCTGACTGTCATGTTTCTGTGTCTGACTGTAGTGTTTCTGTGACTGTAGTGATTCTGTGAGTGTCTGACTGTCATGTGTCTGTGTCTGACTGTAGTGATTCTGTGACTGTAGTGATTCTGTGAGTGTCTGACTGTCATGTTTTCTGTGTCTGACTGTAGTGTTTCTGTGACTGTAGTGATTCTGTGACTGCCTGACTGTCATGTTTCTGTGTCTGACTGTAGAGTTTCTGTGACTGTAGTGATTCTGTGAGTGTCTGACTGTCATGTTTCTGTGTCTGACTGTAGTGTTTCTGTGACTGTAGTGATTCTGTGACTGTCTGACTGTCATGTTTCTGTGTCTGACTGTAGTGTTTCTGTGACTGTAGTGATTCTGTGACTTACTGACTGTCATGTTTCTGTGTCTGACTGTAGTGTTTCTGTGACTATTGTGATTCTGTGACTGCCTGACTGTCATGTTTCTGTGTCTGACTGTAGTGTTTCTGTGACTGTAGTGATTCTGTGACTGCCTGACTGTCATGTTTATGTGTCTGACTGTAGTGTTTCTGTGACTGTAGTGATTCTGTGAGTGTCTGACTGTCATGTTTCTGTGTCTGACTGTAGTGATTCTGTGACTGTAGTGATTCTGTGACTGCCTGACTGGTCATGTTTCTGTGTCTGACTGTAGTGTTTCTGTGACTGTAGTGATTCTGTGAGTGTCTGACTGTCATGTTTCTGTGTCTGACTGTAGTGTTTCTGTGACTGTAGTGATTCTGTGAGTGTCTGACTGTCATGTTTCTGTGTCTGACTGTAGTGTTTCTGTGACTGTAGTGATTCTGTGAGTGTCTGACTGTCATGTTTCTGTGACTGACTGTAGTGTTTCTGTGACTGTAGTGATTCAGTGATTGCCTGACTGTCATGTTTCTGTGTCTGACTGTAGTGTTTCTGTGACTGTAGTGATTCTGTGAGTGTCTGACTGTCATGTTTCTGTGACTGACTGTAGTGTTGTTTCTGTGACTGCCTGACTGTCATGTTTCTGTGTCTGACTGTAGTGTTTCTGTGACTGTAGTGATTCTGTGAGTGTCTGACTGTCATGTTTCTGAGTCTGACTGTAGTGTTTCTGTGACTGTAGTGATTCTGTGAGTGTCTGACTGTCATGTTTCTGTGTCTGACTGTAGTGTTTCTGTGACTGTAGTGATTCTGTGAGTGTCTGACTGTCATGTGTCTGTGTCTGACTGTAGTGATTCTGTGACTGTAGTGATTCTGTGAGTGTCTGACTGTCATGTTTCTGTGTCTGACTGTAGTGTTTCTGTGACTGTAGTGATTCTGTGACTGCCTGACTGTCATGTTTCTGTGTCTGACTGTAGAGTTTCTGTGACTGTAGTGATTCTGTGAGTGTCTGACTGTCATGTTTCTGTGTCTGACTGTAGTGTTTTCTGTGACTGTAGTGATTCTGTGACTGTCTGACTGTCATGTTTCTGTGTCTGACTGTAGTGTTTCTGTGACTGTAGTGATTCTGTGACTTACTGACTGTCATGTTTCTGTGTCTGACTGTATGTGTTTCTGTGACTATTGTGATTCTGTGACTGCCTGACTGTCATGTTTCTGTGTCTGACTGTAGTGTTTCTGTGACTGTAGTGATTCTGTGACTGCCTGACTGTCATGTTTATGTGTCTGACTGTAGTGTTTCTGTGACTGTAGTGATTCTGTGAGTGTCTGACTGTCATGTTTCTGTGTCTGACTGTAGTGATTCTGTGACTGTAGTGATTCTGTGACTGCCTGACTGGTCATGTTTCTGTGTCTGACTGTAGTGTTTCTGTGACTGTAGTGATTCTGTGAGTGTCTGACTGTCATGTTTCTGTGTCTGACTGTAGTGTTTCTGTGACTGTAGTGATTCTGTGAGTGTCTGACTGTCATGTTTCTGTGTCTGACTGTAGTGTTTCTGTGACTGTAGTGATTCTGTGAGTGTCTGACTGTCATGTTTCTGTGACTGACTGTAGTGTTTCTGTGACTGTAGTGATTCAGTGATTGCCTGACTGTCATGTTTCTGTGTCTGACTGTAGTGTTTCTGTGACTGTAGTGATTCTGTGAGTGTCTGACTGTCATGTTTCTGTGACTGACTGTAGTGTTTCTGTGACTGTCTGACTGTCATGTTTCTGTGACTGACTGTAGTGTTTCTGTGACTGTAGTGATTCAGTGATTGCCTGACTTTCATGTTTCTGTTACATACATGAATAATTAACTTAGTTGATTTGTCAATAACAAAGACGATAGCAAATTGATGCAAAATTAAACAAGAGCCTAGTATAATGTTAACATGACCATCTTCCGCCGAATGTGTTTGCTCATTGGAAGAATATATATGTAGTAGAGCAGAATAATTCAATTTTAAGAGGTCTTTTGGTGATGAAAACTGATGGCTGAAGTGATTTCAGATTTGAAAACTATGTGAATACTGATGGCTGAAAATGACAAAGGGCAATAACTGAAAAATAATGCAGGGTAGGTTATCATTCTTGTGTGCTGCACTCCTCCTCAATGAGATCTATCCACGTATGAAGTTTCAAGTTGATACCTCTAAACACTTTTTCAGATTTATATAAACTCCAGACAAAAAGTATGAAAAATAACAAAGGGCAATAACTAAAAAATTATAAAGGGAAGAGTTATCATTCTTGCCCTCACTAAGATAAATCGACCTATGAAGTTTCTACGCTCCCTTCGCAGCTCACTGAATACACTCACGCTACTTCAGTTTCATGTTGACATCTCAAAGACTTTTTAAGTTATGCTCCACTCAGGTGAAAAATTAAGTATGAAAAATAACAAAGGGCAATAACTGAAAAATTATGCAGGGTAGAGGTATCATTCTTGTGCACTGCACTCCTCAATATGATCTATCCACCTATGAAGTTTCAAGTTGATTCCTCAAATACTTTTGAGATATGTTCCGGACAAAAATGTCGGACAGAAGGATGGAGACTATTTCTACATCCCCCGCCGCCTTTCAAGGGTAAATTCAATTACGTTTTCTTGAAGATCTTGGTCCAAGGTTTAGTGTCCAAGTTATTGGATGGCAATGGCAACTATGCCACAACTGTAGCAATAGCTTGATTTTGTTCTTTGATGTAAGACCATGACAACTTGCATCTCTAAATCATGAAACTAATAAGTGTAACATTGTTTTATATAAATTTCCCAGGAAAAAAACATTACAAATCATAACATGATTACTGGGATAAAATGATAACAATGATCATGGATAACCTGGCCCATCAGATAACATGGTTTAATCTAATTCTGATCATTTATTTGAACATGGGACAATATAGACTAACATTTTAGCAATATTTTATAACCAAAGCAATTCTACATTCAAAATGTTTTCACCTTATAAATACAATAAACCCTCCTCAAGTTTATATGAATTTTTCCCACATTAATTGGTTTGATAGAAGAGATGGAACGGAGTCCTTGAAATCCAAAATTGGTTCTGTACAGTATTGAATGTTGCACTATAATAACATGTGATATACTAGGGTTTGTAGTATTCAGTAATTACCTGGAATTGTCTGGAATTTGATTGTAATGCATGTATACTTTGCACGCATATAAAAAAGCAAAGAATATCAACAAAAGAAAGTTTTTATCCTTAAATTTGTATACATATATCAACATATTATTTACACAGATAGTTATATATAACAATAAAATAGACCGATATGATTCATAACAAAATCTAGGATTAAAATCAATCCATGACAATATCAAATATTTATGTCAACATATCAGTTGCAAATTTCACCATTCCTATAATAATTGAAAATTGGTTGGATTACATATTAATCATTTAAAGAAGGGATTATAACTAAATATTTCAAGCCTCCAAACAATGTATGAAAATAAACATTCCAGATAAATCAGTGTTTAATTAAAAGCTAAAAAACTGGCATTTAGACCGTATCTGACATAAACAAGAACTATTGCAAAAGGTAATGGTTGCTCCTAAAACCTGCACATTTGTCGATGTATTTCAATGCACATCAGTCAATAAAGGAGAAAGTAAGAGCAAAAGTGTAAAATAAAAAAAGTTTAAAAATCTATTTTAGCATCAGTGACCTTGATTCAATTAACCCCTTACTATACCATAAGTCAGAAGACCACCTAAGATTTGTTCCTACTAAATATAAAAGCCATTTGTATCTAAATTAAGGCTGTATCAACAAAAGTGTAACATGTGTTATAAAGTATTATTAAGGGTGATTTTCAACCATTAAGGTTTTTGATATTGTTTTCTATCAAATTTGTTCAATTATAAAGTACTATAAAGGGAGATAATTCATAAAATCTAAGTGATTTTGTGCTATGGGTCTTTGACAATGCACTTCCTTTTACTAGTATTTACAACTTTGGGGAGTTTCAATGAGATATATACTGGACAGGAACCACTTACTTACTAAAGCGAGATTATTTTAATACAATTATAAAAGAATTATGGTTCTTGGACACTTGTCTCTACCACTGTGTGAAATTTTGATCACTTTTAAAATATTTTTCCTCACAAGAATGTGATGGATGAACAGACAGTAAATTTTAGTGACAATTTACCGCATAAACCACTAAAAAATTTCACAAAAACTGAAGTTCATAGACCATGTGGCCAGACAGACAGAGATGTATCAACAAGACAGCAACTATATATTGGGAGCATAAAAGTCCTTTCCCAGAATTTTATCAAAATAAATAAAAGATGCAAGAAAGATTTTACACATTAAAAGAGTATTGACTCATCACATAACCTAATATATCATTTATACCAATAACTTTAACAATATTCTCAAAAACATATTGTAGAAAAAAAAAATATTAAGACTAAAGGTTCAACTTCTAAAAAATAGGTATACAGACAAAAATGTTGAACACCTTAATATACTAACAATTTGTTTTAAAAAAGAACCATCTACATTTCACAAAATTCTTAAATAAGATATTTTACTCCATACAATCTAAAGATTTATGAAAACATAAAAGTAGATCCATTTTTCTTACTGACAATGTTTGAAAACAGTCAATATTTTATAATCTGCTATAGTACTGCCTTTCAATTTCACTGCCTTCCAATTTTATATGCTTAATCTGTTATTAATGTTTTTTATGACGAGTAAATGCAGTATTATTGCAAACATAACTTTTTTTCATTTTTGGTTAAGACATACTAACACTATTAAGATCATATTGCCATTTTCGTCTTCACTGGTGAAGATAAAAGAGACCAGGTGCCACTCTGGGCAGTATTTCAGGCATAAATGTGAACCCGAGTAGAACCTTGTGTAAACAAGCTGGAATTCTTCCTCACATGAAACAATCAAATGTTTCTGGTTCAATGTCAGTGACCTTAATATCTTGGCCATCAATTCCACCAGAAAATAACTAAAATCATATTTTTTTCCACCCTTTCAACTTCTTGCACAGTATCTTAAACAGGCCTATCCTATCTTTAATACATGCATACATCAACATAACAAACATAATTATGTAATGCTATAAAACATATTTACAGACTGAAAATGAAAATTTAAAATCAGATATTTGATATAAATTATATATACAAACTATGCTTATATTTTTCACAACAAGTTCTATGATCTCACAAAGAAAGCATAATTGATTTACGTGGGTCTTGAAAGAGCACAATTTAGTTTCTTGTATACTCGAAAGTTCATCAGCGAGAACTTGTCTCATTTATTATTATGTAGCAAATCTTATAATTGTATGCTATCAATGATGGAAACCTGTATTACAAAGGTCTCATTATGGAAATCATGTACAAAACAGTTAGATAATTATTGTCCGCACATAGAGAACTGACTAATCAATGGACGGACCCACTAGAAGATTTTCAAAAAAACGTATGGACATGAAAAGTTTGAAAGTTCTTTGTAACAAAATTACATGAGCTCAAAGAATATAAGCTAGTTTATCAAAGGCAAAATATCTCAAAATGAGATAAAAGAGACCCATATTCCTGAGTGACAATGATCATTCTAACACTAACAGGCTTCACACTATTCCCCTATCAAACAGATAGGGCAATCAAGCGCATTATTACAAGATATATGCACAGCATAAAAAACGAATGCTTACACGTCATATATGACATCAATAAACCAAATGATGTTGGGAAATTTAATAATTCTCTTTTTGATAAGCATATTAGAATGGAAAATGTTATTAATTTTTTCTTGCATAACAGTATACCAATGCATGGTTAACATTCAAATGCTTTGTAATTAATCACTCAAGCCTATAGGCCTTTGTGATTATATTCCTGCACATTTGAACTCAAACTGTGCATTATTCTACAACATTCTGCACTCAAAATTGATAACTAATTTTTAGATGTCAAAGTTAAATATTGCACATTAATGTGCAACATTCGCTGCAATATTAAACAGGAAAAGAATGGTTATAATCAACTTATTTTTGATTATGGACTTTTTTGACTTATATAAGCGAAGCTGGACTGGATCTTATACATCTCATCCACCATGAATTTGAAATTGTAAAACTCTAGACACAGTCTAAAATGACTATAAATCTTTTAATGCTGCTAACTGTCTCTCAATTTCATCATCAGTTTCTCGTGCTTTTGAAGATTCACCCAACTTTCCTTTGTGAGCAGATGGTGCATCCAACATCTGAAGAAATAACATAAAACATACTCTAAATAACTTTAAAACTTTTTTATCAGATTTCATGTTGAATTGTTAATACTTAGTTAACATCATACAAATAATTCCAACTTTACTAATTGAAGATGACCCAATGTCTCTATTATCATGTTATTTTGAGATTGACCAAGCATTTACAATATGGTTGCTGTAAATGTTATGCAACCATTATGTATTTTTTTTTTATAACAAACATGTATTATATACATATGTAAAATAAAAATGGCATGTCAAACAGTCATTTTGCCATTTTTTGGCTGTCCAACATCATGTGATAAAAGTAATCTTGCATAAATTGTCATTTCATTGACACTTGCAATGAATTTACCCCAAAATGTGATCAAGCTTGCAGTATGCTGCCTTTTAACACTTTCATAGAATTGTTTAAAGGCACATAATGCCTCAGAAATCCATATTTATGAAATTCTTTAGAAATGTCAAACATCTGATTAATGTTTTTATAATGGATTTAGAGCATGTTAGATGTTTAACAGTCCTGCTGATTAATGTAGCATTCAATGTGCAGAATGTGTCGCAAAGGTAGCAAAATGTTAACATATTACTATTTTGACTTCCATACAAAACTAGAAATGTGTCCATAGGACACGGATGCCCCCACACGCCACTGTTCTGTCAATCTTATGACTCTAGATCAAATATTTTTTGGACTACATGTGCCACAAGTTGAAAACTAAAAATCAACAAAGGGCCATAATTCTGTTAAATTTAGTCGCAGCAAAGATTCCTTCCTTTACTACCATCTACACATTAAGGTTGTTCATCCCTGGAAGTTTAAACAAAATCTGCCATCCGGTTTAAGAGGAGTTGCGTTCAAACAAAATTTCTACATAGTATATAGTGAGAAAAATCAACAAAGGGTCATAATTCTGTTAAATTTGATCGCAGCAAAAATTCCTTCCTTTACTACCATCTACACATTAAGGTTGTTTCATCCCTGGAAGTTTAAGCAAAATCTGCCATCCGGTTTAAGAGGAGTTGCGTTCACAAAATTTCTACATAGTATATAGTGAAAAAATCAACAAAGGGCCATAATTCTGTTAAATTTGGTCGCAGCAAAAATTCCTTCCTTTACTGCCATCTACACATTAAGGTTGTTCATCCCTGGAAGTTTAAGCAAAATCTGCCATCCGGTTTAAGAGGAGTTGCGTTCACAAAATTTCTACATAGTATAGAGTGAAAAAATCAACAAAGGGCCATAATTCTGTTAAATTTGGTCGCAGCAAAAATTCCTTCCTTTACTATCATCTACACATTAAGGTTGTTCATCCCTGGAAGTTTAAGCAAAATCTGCCATCCGGTTTAAGAGGAGTTGCGTTCACAAGATTTTGGGATGTACGGACAGACGGACGGACAGAAGTACGGACACTCGGACGGACAAGTGCAACGCTATATGCTCCCACTCTGTGGGGGCATAAAAAAAAATGAAAATACTAATTCATTATAATTGTACCAAATACCAACAAAGCAAAAGAAGCAAAGATAGTTCCGCTTTATGGCAAATGAGTATTTTTTTTAAAAACTGTATATTTTATTAAATTAACTTTACTTAGTTCTGTAAGAAAATAACATCATATATATTTGTGAGTTTACTTACCTTTCCTGAAATATCAATTCCTATCTCATCTAATACCTGGGAAACAATGGCGTCTTGTTCCTCCTCATCACCAGATTCAGTCAAAATATCATCTAATGTGTCATTTACTGAAATATACAACAATTGGACATCTTTTATTTCAGATAACCACAAATATATCATGTTTTTTTACCATGAATATAAATTTCTGGTACTTTATTTTACCTGAGCTTATAAAATTCTGAACTGTTTTGTTATTACATTAAAAGCAAGGTTAAGTTGGCAGTCCCTCAAATGCATTATGTAACCATGTTTTATCGCAGGTGTAAAATAACCTATTATTAACCTGACTAAAGTTAAGATCTTCTTATGTTTTACATGTTAAGCCTAGCATTTTTAGGAGCTCATTTCAGTTAGACTGATCTGATGTGTTCTTTAACTATTTTATACCAGCACCTGACAGGAATAAGGACTGATATGAGGTAGAACTCAATATAAACTTAAGTATTTTTAAGAAAGCTTCCTAAAACATAAATTACACTAAAGGAGCTAAACTTTCTAGCTATTAATCATAAATTTTTATGTATTTTTTGCTAAAGCTTTGCTAGAATGAATTAACTCACTCATTTCCTCTGACATTTCCATTTTTGTAGATTCTTTCTCAAACTCCTGCATCATCTTAGCTGTTTTCTGTGGGTCCATAACCTTATTCATTTGTTGCATTGTCTGAAACAAAAAATATACTACTTCATGTGGCAAGAACACATTACTTTTAAATATATTGTTGGTATATAAAATTATTTTCATACTATAAATTATTACTTTATCATTCCTCATGACATATATGTATTAGATTTATGTATTAGAACATGACCAAGCAATTGTATATTTGAACATCATAAAGTAATCTATTTTTAATACATTCATCATGACCTCTCAACTACCAATTTGTTATAAAGTACATGTATGTCATTTCTCAAAGGGATATTAATTGTGATGTGAAAAAAAACAACTTTGAATGGTAAACATGAATCAAAATTTTCCTGACTAACAAAACTAGAATCAAAGCCAATAAAACGCTAAATATTATCCAAGTCCTTCATTTATGTAAATTGTAAGGTCATGAACTCTGAAAATGAACAACATTCAACAACCCTTTTTACTGGTTATTAAATTCAATAAATTTAAAATCATTGCAATACTTTTCATATTTCTATTGTATTTCATAAAGTTACATAAACGTTACCTTTGTGGTAGTTCCCATTGCTCCAGCCATCTTCATATTTGAATGCATTAACTGGAATAGAAAACAATCACTTACAGATCATTGCTTCAAAATTTATTAATTGTAATGCCATTAAAAACAACTGTGTAAAGAGTATGTCTCATTTGATTTAGCTCTTCATTCAGTTATATACAGAAACAAAATTAGTTAAATTACTATTTTTCTTGCTGACTTTAGTTTACACAGCAAAACTATCATTCATATTGCTATGAAAGTTTTAAATTACTTGTATCATAGTTTGGGGACTTTTCTGTTGAAAATGTGTCAGAGTTAAATCGTATACATATACATGTACAGTGCGTTAACTGGAGTGCGGGTATTAGTTACCCGCACTCCAGAGCGTGCCCATTGATTGGTTCATTTTTGCTGGGGTTTACATATTGTGACGGAAGAGAAAGGGAAAGCGATAGAAATATCATATTCAGATGCTCGTTCATTGGTTACTTTTTCCCGGGGTTTCATATTGTGACAGCAGGGAACGTGTTTTTATGTTTGACTATGATACAAAAGAGAAAGAACACCAAAACACTCAGCAATCTGATTTATACTCGGGGGCTACGCCCCCTCGTACAAATCAGATAGCCTCGTGTTTCGGTGCTCTTTCTATTACATATATTATTTCAGGCTTACCTTTTGTTGATTTCCTATAGCTGATATCTTGGAACCTGTGTTGTAACTTCTAGTTTTCTGTTTTCTCAAGGCCACTAATTGTTTAGCTAAAACAGTACATGCCTAGAAAAGAGACAATAATGACAGTGATACAACTTAGATTATGGAATAATATAATACCAATGTAAAAAGCATTTTTTCCTGTTATATCACATAAAATTACTCCTCTAAAATAAATCATGTTTGAATCAGTTATAACTATATAATGTTTTATGTTTTCTTGTTTTTTTTTCCGTGCATACCAGAGCGTACATTTTTGACTTTTTTTCATATATTCTAACAGTCTAATACTAGAAGGTTCTAACCTTGTCTGTAAAAAGAAACTTATGAGCAAAATCATCTATATAACTTAACCGAAATTGTGACATCTTAAATCTATTACTGTGTCTATAATACATAATATGCCCAATTCTTCCTCTTTGTTATTGATACAAAGTATTTGTATATACCTTGCAGTCCTAGTAAATATACAAATATAAACTAATGACCCGAGGGAGGTAATCCTCATGAATATAACTCTAAATTAGATAGAAATTGCAAAAAGTGAAGTACAATTACTAAATATAATTGTATCGTACATATATTTTTGTATATAGAGCCTTACAAATATTGAGTTGTGTCTCATTTAGGTGAAAAATATGTGATACAGATACGGCCACTATAAATATCAGTCACTGTATAAATGACAAAGTCAATACTTTACCTGTTTATTTCCCTGTTTAGCTGCCTTCTTTATATCCATTTCCTAAAACAATATCATACAAAATTAACGTAAATTCATACTAAATTATCAAAGTTCATGTTGATAATTTTAATATTCTGTTTATAAAGAAAAAGAGCACTTCAAGTATCTGTACTTGTCATTAGATATCTGAGAAATATAGAATAAAATACAAATGTAGTTTTTTACAGAATAAGCAGCATATTCTAGATTTATTATCTATCAGTATATTTTTGAATGGCAAGAATGTTTTGAATAAATATTCAAACAAACATTTACAAAAATAAATCAAAAGCAAATTTATAGTTGGAGGTCAAGGTCAGTGTGGTCTATTTGAAGGTCTTGTATAAAGAAATTTTGGGTCCAAGTATGAAACAATACATTTCACCTTTTTGACCTTAAGTGTAAAGGTTATATTAAGGTATGTTCAATGTCAAGTTCAATTAAATCTTCTTTAATGTCTTGTAAAAAGGATTATTGGATTTTCAAAATTCAAACATTTGACCTCAAAGATCAAGGTAATTTATAAGTGAAGGTCAAATTCAGTCTGGTCTACGTAAGGGTCTTGTCCAAAAGGATTTTGGGACTAAGTATAAAGACAATCCATTAAGGAATGTAAAAAATAATGGCCAATGTTAAAGTTTCTGGGCAGCTTTGGCAATGGGAACCGTCGACATGACTGTAGTAATAGCTCGAAATTTTTCTTTGAAAACTTTGAAAAAGTCAATCTGATAAAAGTTTGGCATTCTGGCTGTCATGTTTAAAATATGTAAAAAGTTTCTGTTCTATTATTACCAATTTTTTTTCTTCTCTTTCCATTTTATTTCTATCTCTTTCCAAATCCCTCTGGGTTTTCCGTAATACTCTGTCATTTGACTTCAGTTGCTCTATAATAGATTTGAACAATGTATTTATAACACAGTTGCTTTTATTGCTAAAATTGCATTATTATGTTTATAATATTATAGACGTTGAAATATGAAATTATTTTCAAAACGGCTTATATTAAGTGTTTTTTTACATATTTGATCAGTACATGTGCTGGGATAGACACATGTATGCATTTTAATTTGGATTTTAAAGGCATTTTGAGCTCCACACCCCAAGTGTCTGTGACTCACCTGTTGGAAACTATAAGGTTGTTTATAAGCGTTATAGCGAGCTCGACGAGCTGGCCCAAAGGGCCTGCTCGCAAAGCAAGCTTTACGGTAACGCGAGTACCTGCTAAGTGATGGTTTTGAAAACTTTCGTCCAAAGTACCGAATTGGACACATCGCAACCTTTCGAATTTAAAGATAACGATAAAAACTGAGGAATTCTGACTGAAAACGGATGTGTAGACTGGTCACCGGCGCACGTTTATGGGAACCATAATTGGACAGGGAACCAGAATAACGGAAGCTGTGTACAAAAAATGAAAATCGAAGGCGCCATTTTGTTTGAAATCTGATAAATAAAAAAACAATTTTTTTGTCGAATTTTGTTGTGAAACTATCTAGAATGAAAAGAAAATGGTCTAACTAAGAAAATGAATCCGAACACCAATATCTTTTTATTCAGTCGTTAACGCTGTAACAGACGTTTAAAGTATTGTTTACGTGACGTCACAATGTAGCGCCAAACAGCACGTGCAAAACAAACAAATCAAGTACGCTATTTTAATGTCGCAAACGTTTTAAGTTTTACATTTATTTCACTTTAAATAATCTTTATTTCGCTTGAAAAATTATAGAGTGAAATAAAATAAACAACGTTTTATCAACGTTTTCAAAACTCGTTATTCATTTCACGACAGGGGCGGAGCCATATTTAACACAGTACGTATGACGTCACACGCACTCGTTACTGCATTTGAAATAAAAATGAGCGATTATTTCATACTATTTCACATAAAAAGTACATCGAGCTCGCTTTGAGGCTTTGCCTTTTTCATATTATTTTTATAATTTTAATCTGTTTATAAGCCAAATAAGTTTTTTATATGTCCATTCTTAGCTCATAAACAATTTTACATGGGGGTTTTATAAGGAAATGCTTCACTTTACTACATGGCGTGATAGATGAATGAAACAAGTGTGTCTGATTTCTGGCACGCGTGGACTTTCCCTATGGGTGTGTCTTCAGCGTTCATGTCATATCAAAATATATAAACGGGTATGCTGGAGACCTTAATTAAGCTAACCACTTCCTATAAATTAGTATAATATACAAGTAATTTATTATTTATAAATTTTACAACTTAACCATTAATTACTGACTTTCCATCAGGAAAAACTGTCTTTGATTAAAAAAGGCTCTCTTAATAATACCATTTAATCAATTTATGCACAAAGCTTAATTAAAGAATAAACAGATATGATATACATGATATATCTATACAGTAGGTTTCAAGAAAAATATTATTAAAAAATATAATTTTATAAAAATATTACTTACGTTCCACTGTAGGTTTCTTTGAGAAGAAAGACATATTAATTTTCAAGTCAGTGCTAACCTTTACTGTTTAAGGTTTGGTTTGGCACTAAAATTATACTGTTAAACTGAGTAAGTTGCAATTATACACTACAGGTAATTTGTTTGTTGTCTCATATGATTTTTACCAATCCGGAAGCGAATACTCAGCCAAACAAAGCGCTTGAATTTCGCAAGCGTTTATTTACATTCGAACTAAGGGAGATAATTTTTTGGAAGCAGTGAAAATGTCTAACACTAATTGAAATTTGGGACAATTTATAGTTTTTTAAATCATATAAAGGTATCGAAAAGGTAAAAGGAAATAACAAAAAGTATCTGCTAAAAACAAATTTGCTCAGAAGTTTAAAGTTCTCTTAATTTCATAAGTTTACTTTCAAAGAGAAAAATCGTAATAACCGGATAAACAAAATATCGGATATCATGGGATATGGTCCTATTTGATTCATTCTTAAACTTTATTTTTCTGTTGTCACTTGTGTATTATAATAGAAACACATATGACTTAAAAATATTTTTTGAATTGATGTTCTTATCTTGAGTCATTTTGTTGGCATAAAGTAAAATTTATTCATTTATGCAGTTCTGTGAACATAATTTTAAATTAAAACTCAAAATTAAACAATTGTGATTTTAAACCCTTAAAGGGTATGACTTAATACCGAACAGACTTCCCTTTAAGTTAAAAAAAAGTGTCAAACATTCGTCTGACAAACCATGAAAACCTGTCGGACCGAAACGAAATCAGTCTGACCAAATGAAATTAATCAAAATCAAAGGAAAACTTGTGTTTGTATTTCTAAGACGCTTTTCAGTTTTAATTTTTTTGCCGTAAAAATCGGCACAGTCCGTACAGCTCATTTTCATCTCCTTGTCATACACCAACGATTCACAGTCCTGCTTCCTTTTTTCATTTAATTTTGTCTAAGATCTATTCTTTTCATCCTTTTAGTTTTACTGCTGTTCTGCGCGCTCCTCTGACATAGATTTTCGGTTTTTCCCAGGTTTGGCAACGCCATTTTGTATACATGTGACTTGGATGACGTATTTCGGGAAGTCTGCCAAATATGAATTCATATTCGCAAATGTGAAGAGAATACCTAATATGAATATTATTTTCATTAAATTTTGGCGTAGGACAGTAGGGTAAAAAATTTACACATTAATTAATCTTAGACTAAGTTAGTGAATATTTACTACTTGAAAAAAATAAATTTAAAATAGCCTTTGATATGTGTTTTTTTATTTACATGTATAGATCTATACAAAGTATCAAAGTAATATACATATTACGTTCCACTGTAGGTTTCTTTGAGAAGAAAAACATATTAATTTGGTTTTCTCGTCATATTCTGGTATCTTTCTGGTCATGATATTTTGCAACCAATGCAAATTTCATTCAAAGATATGATACAAGTAAATACAAGTTTTTGTTTGGAATTTCTATACTTTTATGAGCTTTTTCCAGCTTTTTTATATATAAATGATAATGTTCATGTTTGTCATTCTCATTCATATTCGGGTATCTTTCTGGTCTTAGGAATTAACTTACAACCAAAACAATCAGAAATTTATTTTCTTTCATTCAAAGACATATGATTATCAGATACAAGTAAATAATAGTATCTGTAAAAAAAGTGTTGATGAAAATTATTCCTAGAAGATCTGATTTTATGAAAATACCATTCATATTCGGTACTCCCGTTCATATTCCCAAATAGGAATTCATATGCGGTTTTTAGACATACCGGTGATAAAAGAGACTTTTTGGCTTCATGAAAAAAAAACACAAAAAACAGGCACACTACTAATTTAGATATCTGTCATGGATTTAGACAAATTACAAATGTAGATCTTGAAGATTTTACTCCTTGTTTAAATTTGGCATGCACAATTAACTTCCTAATAATTACTAAAGCTATTCTCTTGAAACTTTACACTTCATTTTCCCTGATTCATATTTCTGTCATTGTTTCCCTCTGTGAATTCCTAAATTATCCAGGACTTTATTTACTATCAAGTATTGAGAATGGACTTAGTGGATTGTCCTTCAGAAGCTTTTACTTGTTAAGATCACATGTTGCAGAAAATTTACCTAAATCAAGTTATCTTTTAATGTTTTTGTTTGTTTTGTTGTTTTCAGATTTGAAACAAAATGGATTCTGATGTCCTAACAGAGGTTCCACAGAGCATGAAAAGGCTTGTGCGACTTGTAGCACGTGGATTTTATTCTATTGAACATGCATTAGTTATAGACATGCTGGTGAGAAACCCGTGCATGAAAGAGGATGATATGCTTGAATTGTTAAAATTTGACAGGAAACAGCTACGTGCTGTCATAAACACACTGAAAATTGAAAAATTTATAAAAGTTAGAATGCGAGTAGAAACAGATGCCGATGGTCGGACTACAAGACATAATTATTATTTTATAAGTTATATCATGTTTGTGAATGTTGTGAAATATAAACTAGACCATGTACGGCGGAAAATAGAAATGGAAGAGCGGTGTAACACAAGTCGAGCATCATTCAGATGTGATGACTGTCAGAAAACATTTACAGACCTGGAGGCTGACCAACTATTTGACTTCTTTTCACAAACATTCAAGTATTTCCATAAATTTATATCATTATTTTTACACTATTCGGAATATTTAGTTTGGCAAGAAGTGCCTAGGTTTTTTTTCTGATTTATTATAGCAATGATTTTAAATTTTGTCATTGTTACCAACTTTGAATAACTTTCTGTTTCTGACTTTTTATGTCCCCGGGCATATAGTGATTGAACCATCCATCCGTCTGTCTGTCTGTCCGTCTGTCCGTACGAGGTTAACCTAGAACGGCAAGTTGGATTTTTCTTAAGTTCTGCCTGTACCAATGGCTTCTAAGTTTACACACTTGCTAATCATTACAAAGTACATGATCTGGGCAAGTTACATAACTCTGGCTTTCATATTTACCAAGTTATTGCCCTTTTCAGCACTTAGAAAATGAATAATGGTTAACCTAAAACGGCAAGTTGGAAATATCTTAAGTTCTATCTATACTAATGGCTTTATAATTTCCACACTTACTTATCAATACAAAGTACATGATATTGCCAAGTTATATAACTGTGTCATCCATATTTCCCAGTTATTTCCCTTTTTTCACTTTGAAAATAGGGCCTTGTCTGGTTAACCTATTTCGGCAAGTTGGATTTATCTTAAATTTCTCCTAATTGCTTAATTTCTTTAATGATATCTTTCATATTTAGTAGGTGGATACCTTTGATGGTCCTCTAATTTTTTGTGGAGTAATCGGTCTCTAGGGTCAAGGTCACTGGTTTAAAAAATAAATATAAACATTTTTGCTCATACAGCCTTTATATTTTAGTTGATGTCTTAGTTTAATACAAACATGCCAAGGGAGGTCCTCCTTCTTTGGGTGTAATAAGGGGTCATTTGGGTCAAGGTCAATGTTACCAATGTCAAGGTCACCAATGTTAAAAATAGATTTTTACATTTTTACTGGTGTATTGACCTTATTCTATAGACAGATGTTATTTATAATTGATAGAAACATAAACTTTGATGGAGTTAGTGGTCAGTTTGGTCACGGTCACCAGTGCTTAAAATAGATTTTTACACATTTGCTCCTACAGCCTTTATTAAGTGACAGATATATAATATACTTGGTAGGAAGATAACTTGCATGGTATTCATCCTTTTGATTGGGGTAGGGATCAGTGGGTCAAGGTCACTTGTGCTAAAAATAGATTTGTACACTTTTGCCCATACAGCTTTTATTTATTGACAGATGTATTTTATATTTGGTAGGAAGATAACTTGCATGGTATTCTTTCTTTGGATGGAGTAACGGGTCAGTTGAGTCAAGGTCTCCAGTGCTAAAAATAGATTTAACACTTTTGTCCACGCCCTTTATTTATTGACAGATTATTTCATATTTGGTAGGAAGATAACTTACATGGTATTCTTCTTTTGGATAGAGTTAGGGGTCAGTTTGGTTAAGGTCACCAGTGATCAAAATAGATTTTTACACTTTTGCCCATACAGCCTTTATTTAATGACAGATGTATTTCATATTTGGTAGGAAGATAACTTGCATGTAGTTGAATATTGTTGAACTTCACCAGTCAGAGCAATGACTTGGCAACTTATATTTTTCACAATTACAAAATGCCATGACTTTGTCAAGCTATATAACTTGTGTTTACATTTTTTTGGCAATTTTTCTGTCCATAACTGAGTGAATGGGTAAACATTTTTTGAAATATTGCTACTGACAAGAATCTGAGCCGGGGGCATTTGTATTTAACAAACACGTTCTTGTTTTTTTAAAGCAATACCATATTATGATAATAATCTCTAAATTTGATAATTACTTAAGATACTGTCAGAAAACTGACATTAACTAATTTTCAAGAATATATTTATTTCCTGACCTGTTTCTATAAATCATGTGTGCAAATATATACATATGTGAAAGGAAGAAAGTCATGAGTAGGAAATAATATATTGTAGAGTCACATGAAAAATTGGCTAAGAGCAGCTAGGATTCAAACCACAAGATTCAGGGTTGCTGGTCATTTAACCACAACACCACAATGGCCTTGATATCTTTTTTATGGGGCTTATTACATGTAGTATGATGCTGATTTTGTTTGTGTCTTTTCAATATATATACATTATATATGCTACATTATTTTTTAAGGTGTACAATATGCCAAAATGAAGTTATAGAGGATGAAAGTGCAATAAACAAGGCAGATGCTCGGACATTACTTGCCAAGTTCAATGAACAGATTCAACCTCTGTATGATTTGTTACGAGAATGTGAAGATGTTAAATTAGCACCAGAACTCATGGAGCCAGAACCCACAGATATCAGATCCTCTCAAAGGTTTGTTCCTTGCTTTTATGTGTTTTATTAGATTAGGCTGAAGTTTGCCATATATCTTTCAGAGTTATCGCCAGAACCTGTTGATGACAAATAACCCTCCTCCAGAAATATGTTGCATTATGAATACTAGTAGTGGTGTCTAAACTAACACCTACCAAAATCAGAACCTCAGTGATAATATATCCATAATTTGCAATAGATTTGTAGAGCTGAATTAACAAATTATGACCAGGCTTTTGTGAATTTTTTTAAAGAATATGTTGTTTTGATTGTTTTTCAAGTTTTTCTCTTTGAAATTTTTTCTGTGTCATAGATTTCAAAAAACCATTTACTGGTAAAATGCAGACAATATACGTCAAACCATGATGTAAAGTACATGTATAAATTATCTGTTCAAAATATTTTAATGGTAACTACTCTTAATACATTATGAAATGTTTTTAACCATATATCATAGAATCTCAAATTTAAGCAGTTGTAATAAACTTCAATATGTTATGATATTTGGTCATTTTTTGACTTTGTACTTTTGTATATGTTAATGGAAACATTAGAGATAAAAGAATATCATACATATTTGCAGACCAAAGAACACAAAGTCGACTGTATCAGACAAATGGAGTGGAGATGCGACCAAATATACGACACAGTTTGGTTACTCCGATACATCTATCAGTGTTTCTATGAATGAAGAGCAGAAGAAAGAGAAGGAAGCACCTAAACAACAACCTATCTGGATGAAGAAGAGCACTGTAGATGGTGTACCCACAGATACTGTTAATGAGGTAAATGTTTATATGTTTCTGTAATATACTAGTTAGTTTCTTGGTGATTAGTTTTGCAGTGTGTAATTGAGAACAAATCATAACTTTTAGACAAGAAACAAAACCTATGAATATGTTACATAATGTATCAAGTATTAATTGTTGCACATGTTTAGTTTTTGCCCTCTGTCTGTCCTACTTACTGTACATATGTAGACTGGTTTGTGTGAAATCCAACATCTAAAGTATAACTGCTAGAGTCATTAAACTCACTAAGAATAGTTTTCAGCATGTAAACTTATGCACATAAGTATTTTGATGCAAATTTATTGGAGATCAGCAGACTTATACCCCTGATTAAGCAAAAATAGTCAATTTTAGTCTTGCATTGTATGTAACTCCAGGACCAGAAGTATAGAAGAAAAAGTGTTAGAGCCAGGAAACTTTTTAAAAATAGTTTGTCAGCGTGTGAATTTCTGTACCTTGATAATTTGTTGTAGACTTCAAGAGTTATGGTCCCAAATATGGCAAAAGGAAGCATATTTGTACTGGTCATGTGTAGCTTCAAAACATGCCTGCTATATAATTATATGCACCAGTAATTGTACCAAATTTTTTGTTGCAGTACAGCAAAATGTTTGGGAATCTGTGTTATATGGACACATTTCTAGGCCTTTAATAGTTTTCCAAAATTTAACAATATCAAAAATTCAATCAATGAAACTTTAAATGCTGAAAATAAAAAACAAGTCTATCAGAAGGGAAACATAATTTTATTGAGCCAAATTATGCCTGAAATAAGATAGGAGTTCACCTGAATTTGTTGTCATTAAATACAGAGACTTGCTTACAATCTGAAATTTGTATCCAAAATGAATATTTTGGGGAAAAATGCAAAAAGTAAATAAAATCATTATTATCAAATATGAATGATAACTGTTACTACAGATTGTTGCGGAAGATGATGTGATAACAAGGAAGGACCAGGATAATCGGCCGGATGTGAACCGTGAGATAGAGAATTTACTAATGATACACGAAAAGAAAATCAACATGAGTGTACCAGCAATGATTCCTGGGACTGGAAACACAGAGGAGAGTGATAGTAGTGACAGTGAAGCTGAAACCTCACAACCGACAGGAACCTCAACTACTGGTATAATTATGTTATACATTATATAATTATGTAATATGTTATCGAATTGCAGGAACTCCACTGAGATCCAAACACAATTTATTTTCTTACATAGATCAGCTGGCACACTAAAAACAGAAAGATATGCAAAAAATGATTAAGAAATAATAATACTCAGAAATAATTTGAAAACTGTATTTTTGTGCTATTCTTTGCCAGATTTGAGTGAAAAGCGTTGCAATGCTTTTTAATTTTGGGACTTTTTACGATTGGAATAATTATTTTGGAACAATGGAGTGAGCGAATGATTTGAAATTGTGCACATAAGGTATTGGTATAGACCTACATCGAATGGTTTATTTATTTGATTTCCAGCCCTGTTACTTTTCTGCTTTATGTTTAAAAACATTTAACTACATGTACATAAACTTGAAAGTGACCCAGTGTTAAGATATTCAGGAAAAACCAGTTTTTATTCCTTTTCTTCATTATCAAACAATGTGGATATTTTAATTGAATGAGTATTTAATTGTCACAAGAAGTTCTAGGGATTGATGATCATCTTCTATAAGGCTCCGTCTTCTATAAGGCTATGGTTATTAGCTTTGATCCTCTTGGCATTTAAAGCATAACAGTAAGAGGTTATCATAACTCTCGTGTTAAATTTTACACACGTAATACTAGAAATGATTGAACTATATTACAGTGGCAGATATCGAGAGTGAAGATGAGGAAGAAGATGTCATGGTAACAGTAGCAGGAACTAAAATACCTTACTCTGATGTAACAGATGAAATAGTAGCACGAATGTCACTCGATGAGAAAGCTGAATATATAAAACTTGGTCAGGAAATGTACAAGGATATGTATGAATGAGGTAATATTGTCATCATTAAATTTTACTTGCTCTTTTCAACTCTTGTGGTAATATTGTCATTACTATACTGCTTTACCAGCAGTCTGATTAATATACCTTGATTTTCAGTTTTAGTATTAAGGAATATTAAGAATTAATTTTTGCCTGATCTTGAAAAAAGCTTCAGACTTATTTGAACCACTCTGTGAGTCTGCTTCATGGAACTAACCAATACTGGTGTCATATGAGGAAACATGATCATGATCCCAGTAGGGCCTGAAGACCCTGGATCTGTGGGTCAACATGGCAATAACTTACCACTAGGTCACTGCTCCCCTAATTCTCAATTTTACTATTTTTAGACAAAGGTTTCCACCATCATCTATTGACAGTACAATGCCATGACACAAATTAGGCAGCATGGTGATATTATACATAGTAACACTTTCAGACTTAGTAACAACTTGTCACCTTTTAATAAAACTTCATTTTGCCAAACTTGGTCTGTATCAACACATTTGTTCTTTTGCTTTAATTTGATCATAACACTATAAATCTCTATTGATCATTTGAACAGGGGCGTATTTTACCTTCGTAATGCATGCATAAAACTGTCTCTTTTACAGGTTAAACACGAGTGCCACGTTTTGGACAAACTGAATGAATTTGACTCCAGGGATAACACACACATTGTCACTTACCTGCTGAGCAGAAACAGTACATGTATGGCAATGTATGGGAATGCAATGTGTAGCTACTTTTCACTTCTTCAGAAGTTTTTACAGGACATTGATTGTCTGAATTGTTGATAGATGAACTTACAAAAGATCTCATATTGCATTTATGTTTGATTGACATATTTTGAAAAGCTGTATGAATGGTGCATGTCTATTGTCACCTATATGATAGGGTTATAAAGTTATTGTTGTGTTCAAGTAAAGAAATTATTACTGATATCTTTGTTACTAGTTGTTCTTGACTTTATATGACCTGTCCCTCACTGCTGTGGGTTAGAATCACTTCAAGCATTATGAATTCTTTCACTTGAGGTGGCTATCCAGCTTATTGATAGTCTATGGATTCTTGTCAGAGGTTCCTCCAGCAGAAAAGTTAGAAAGTCACTGTATGATCTTAACAATGTTGGAGTGTTTTAAAATACAACAAAAGAAACAAAAATGAAATAAAATCAGGGCATGGTTGACTTAATAGATATGTATGACAATTTTATAATATGGGTATATCTCCAGAAGTTAAGTTATTGTTGATTAAAAATTGTCAATTAAAGTTTGATGTAAAACCACTCTGTATGCTCACAACTATATATTCAGGCTGTAAAAAAAGAGAACATTGTTACAAATAGCCATGGACCAGATTACAATGTCTGACAATTTAAAGGTGAACTTTTAGGATCAATTTCCTCTCTCCTTGTGTAGCAATTTGTATGTCTGCAGCTTCATTTTTAGCGTACATGAGCAGAACATGATTAGAGGTGATCACATGATATCTTTCCTCAGTTTCTTATCAACAATTTCCTCTGATACTTGCCAAGGTTGGTATACATTTTGACAGTAGGCCATTGTTGACCCAGCCACATAATTTTTTTTTAAGAGCTGGTTTGAACTGTGTGATGCTCCCTAAATAGGTTTTGGACACAGAAAAGTACACCTCTTGTAGTTTCAGAGTTATGTTGCGGACACAGTTCAAAGTGCAATAATTCCAAAATTAGGCAAGGCAGAGTTACTGTTCTTTGCACTGCACTTCTACTCAATGAGATCTTTAGACTTAGTTTTTTGTTGATACCTCTTGAAGTTTAACAATAATGTCCTGGACAAAGTTCAAAGTGTAAAAATGAACTAAGGGCAATAACTCCAAATAAGGCAAGGCAGAGTTAGGGTTCTTTTGCACCCAATGAGATCTATCTACCTAAAAAGTGTCTTGTTGATATCTCTTATGGTTTCAGAGCTATGTCCCGGACAAATTTCATAGTGAAAAAATGAACAAAGGGCAATAATTCCAAAATTAGGGAAGGCAGTTATTGTTTTTTTGCACTGCACTTGTACCCAATGAGCTCTATCTACCTACAAAGTTTCATGTTGATATCTCTTATAGTACATGTATTAGGTATGTCCAGTTCAAAGTGCAAAATTGAACAAAGGGCAACAACTCCAAAATTTAGGAAGGCAGAGTTATGGTTCTTTTGCACTGGTTCTGTTTAATGAGATCTATCTACCAACAAATTTTCTTATTGATACCTCTTATGGTTTCAGTGATATGTCCTAGATAAAGTTCAAAGTGAAACAAAGGTTTTCAGGTTATGCTCCGGACAAGATTTTTCTAAATAGGGAGATAATTCAAAAACGAGGCCAAATACTAAGTTAAGGTTCTTTGGCACTGCACTCAACCTCAATGCCCTGTACCACTGTGTACAGTTTAAGAACAAGTTTTTTTGCTACTGCAAGTTCTAGATTCAAAGCAAGACGCAAGACAGTCTGATGGCAAATCTGTATCACCTTTTGCAGCAGAATGAGACTCCAAACATGGTTTACATTTAAAACTTGTAGAAATACTTGTTGGAGTAACAAATGTAAATAATATAACAACATATATATCTATTAACCTGTTTTTGTTTTATTGCAGAAAGTAGAAAATCATGCAAACATGATCATATTGTAGTTGACAATAAACTGGTTTAAAACAATTCAAGCCATTAGTGTACAATATGAATTTTTAAAGAACAGTACACAAGAACATTAACAGGAAGCTGTAATAAACATTGCATATTTAAACATAATAATTTTATTAACCTATTACCTAACAGGCAAGGATACTATAAGCACCATATTACACATGTTGAAAGGTCAATAACTCTATACAGTAATTCCTTATCAATGATACTAAACTTCTGATGGTTTTATAAAACAAGATCAGCTCAAACTGCTATTACATTTTGGTAATTAACTCCGCAGCAGCATATATTGAGAAAACAGATCAATAAATTTCTTCATGATTGGTTGAAACAAAATTAAAATAAGAAAATATTAACCAATAACATTTAATAAGTTATCATTAATTATTTAATTCTATTGAATAATGGTTAGAGGTTAGAGATATACCTTACACAAGTTTGATTTTACTTGTTTAACTGGGTATCAGATAACCTTTGGGTTAAAATAATAATAATAAATACTGGTAGTGTTTTGAGAAGAATGAGTATCAAAGCACCTGTATATACCAATACTAACATAACTGTACCTTCTAAAATAGAGAAGTGCTTTAAATATTAGGAGCATATTGAATATATTGAAAATCTACTTATCAATTTCAAATTTTAAGAGAACTTGAAATTCTTTATCATGAAAAAAATATATGGCTGCATAAGCATGATGTAAAACCTTTTCTTCTTTCTTTTTTTGACAGACCACTATACATACCTGTATGTAAAAGAAAATTGATAATTTAAAAAATTGCAAAAAAAATTTATTTGAGTATGTTTGACATAAAAATGAAATCTCACCCTAATGTATACAATAGAAATGCTATGCTTACTTTTATGGTCAGAATTTATTCAAATGAAAATAAAAGTCTAAAATGAAAAGAAGTATTTATTACTTAAAAAGTAAAACGTTTAATACTCATTGGTTTAATGTGATAAACAGGTGATTTCTTTCGACAAAGCACTGACAGTGAGGTAAACATTAAAATTTGCATATAAAAAGTGTTATAGCAAACTGACCCTGTATTAACATTCTTAATTGTAGTGGAAATGAAATCCTATAAAAATCACTACAGTTGGTGTATTTGTGAATTTTTCAATGTTGCACTTGCTTTAAGATGCTTGTTATATACAACAGCATTGTTGGAGAAAAAAGATAACTTCAATACCAACAGCATCTTTAAATCAATCTAAACAATGAATGTGATATAAATTATGTAAACAAAATTTACAATATCTTTAAATTGTACATTTCACAACTCTCTGGAACCCACACTATTTCTGTGAAATACACATGATGAAACTTAGACAACAAATTTGAACTTGAATCATTCACCTTGTCTATCTAATAACAAATGTTTACAGTTATATTGAGGTTGGTCCAGATAAAAGTAGGCCTATAGTAATGCACTACATAAACATGTATCAGTATAATGTTCAACACTTGACAGAAACATAGGACTTTAACCAATAGGTCAGCTGAAGGCTACAGAATTTAGCAGACCAAGATCATATTGATGCTGTCTAATCATGGTCTATACTATTTTCTATTCAGTCAGTACTTATATTGAAAATTTTCCTTTAATGATCAATGGTTTTGTCCAGATTGAAAGATGGATAAGTCCATTTAAAATATTACAGCATTAAATTTGTCCAATTATTCAACATGCTTTAAAATGTAAATAAAGTAGAACAAACAACATAGTTCAGATGTTTTTACAGTACAAACCAATGTTTCTTCTATTATGTTTAATAGACAAATACAGATCTAAAATGTTTATAAACTATCTCCTTTAAACTATATTAAGTGCCTATATACATGTAGATAGTCATCATTCAAAATAATGTACATGGCAGTTGTCAGAAAAGGTTAAGGGAATCTAACATTTGTTTTGAGAAAATTATAATTTTTTTGAAAAACTTTTGTTTAAATAGTTTTTTCCATAAATCGAAAAACTTTTTGAATATGTTTTAAGTTTATTTGATACAAATCGAAAAAAGAGGCATCCCCTACAAAAAAGAAAATCTGGAAAAAACATGAGTTTTCATAAAAAAAATTGAAGAGTTCGGGGTTTTAAATTGGGGATTATGTGAACAGTAATGTGACATGGTGGATGTAATTACCACTTCATTATTTTGGAAAAATTTAATTTTAAAAGGCACATAACTCCCGTGTCATACAATTAAACAAAGTAATTAAATCTTTCCTTTAACATACAAGTTCACCTTATCAAAAGTTCTTATTATAATAATATTGCATAACTGATATGAAATTTCGCACCATGTTTACCACAATACAAAATACACTTAGACCATTTATCAAATAAATTGAAACAGCCATGACTCGGTGTAACAGGTCTGTCAAATAAACTGCTATAATTCAAAGACAAAGTTAAAGAAAAACTTCAGATCTCATACATGAAAACATGTATAATATATCTCTCAAATATATTTGCTTACAATTGAATGCCACCATTCTAATGTCTATAAAAAACATAATTAATATAAAGTTTGTTAAAATAGTTTTTTATCATTTAGCCTGGAACCCCGTTGTATCGATCTATTTACCCATAAATCACAACTGCATTTAAAAAATTCAAATCTCCCTGAATATTTATTTTGTATCATTTATCTTGATCCTTTTGCCATAATATTTACATGGCGAACATCACTGATATATAGTTTTTAGCTTTGGAATATACGGATATTTACAGACATGTCAAAAAGGTTGAAGAATTAGGTCACGCCATTATATCGATGCATTGTGAGAATCGCTCAGTTAGCCAATGTTTGGGAAGCCTTAACCAACTTTATGTTAGATATTTCAGTCAATTAGAAACATAGATGTCTGTTTTAAAATGTCAGCATAAATTTAGGAACTTTTAACAGACAGTAAATGTACTTTTAATAAGAACACATTATTTACAAGTCTATTTATTATCTACAACATCTTACGGTACTGGACACATGTTTTTGATCATTTTACTGCACAAAAATAAATGCGAAAGATTTTCGTGACACTGTCATAAATGTTAACAATCAGTAGGTGACGTATTTTGCAAAAAATCTAAAGATTTGTAAATAGATCGATACAATGAATAGCACGATACAATGGGGTTCCACTATACTAAATAAATGCATCTTAAATTTCTGTAGCATTACCTCTGAATAACATGTATCTTGAATACAATGTCACTAAAAATCAAAAGAAATTTGGCATCACCTTTAAATGAAAAAGTAGACAAATACTAGTTAGAACAATTTTACACCAACACAAACTCAAAACTGTAGAAGATTTTGATACAGACTAACAGTATAAACCTGTCAAAAAGTTGCAAAAATACATTTTTTAAAAACTTAAAATGATAAATTACATTATACAAAGAATATTTCATTGATGCAAATCATGCCTTCAGTTTTGTTAAAATGCTGAAACAGAATCTGTGTAGATGGTTTAATAAACTTCAATTAACATATTATTTTATATTTCATAGAAATTTTAAACTTATGAAAGAGAAGTAATCCAAAACAACATTGTAAAAATATTGGTGAAATAAGAAATAAATAAAAAAAATTCGGCAATAACATTAAAGTAAGTTTCTTAAACAGAGAAATCTTTTAACATAGTATAACAGACAAAACTTACAAAACAAATGCAAAATAAGAGAACATAAGTAATTAAACCATTACCCTGCTAGAATTGAAAGTGATAAGCCTTTGCCATCTGTATAGAACAAACTCTATACTGTTGGTAGCTCGAATTTGAATTATCCCTTATAGCTGCACGCCTCCAGATGAGCAAAAATATTCCGATAAAATCAAACCCGAGAAAAATGTACTAAGATTTTAGGAAAGGTATAAAGATTCAAAATTCTAGTAAAAGTTTACATGTGACAAAATTTTTCAGTATTGATAACTATACTTCTAGTCTACTGCGTTGCTATCGCAGTAAGGGCTATTTTTGCATATTTTGACCTCATTATAATATTTTACATAGGTTGTAAGTGCCATTGATAATGTGTAAATTGCATTCTCTAGGTAACTTTACAATATTACACTGTTAAATACATTTTCCAATTTTCATGAATATTAGCATGAATCCGGAGGCGTGCTGCTTTAAACTCTAAATAGAGTTACAAATTCAAAGCATGGCAAATCTAACCTACAAATTCAGCAGGTGAACGGTAAACAAGATAAATCATGATATTTATGCCATTTGCTAAATACCAAAATAATATAGTATCTATCTATAATATCACAATGAGTATAACATAAATACCCTTTTTAACTAGAATTATTGAACTATGTATACCGGTAAGTCTTCATATTTTCAATATATATAAATTTCTATATGTACAGTAGTAGTATCATACCCATTGTCAAAATTAATAAGTAATCAAATTATAGGCCCAGTCACATCTGTAATAATATTCATTATAGGTTATTTTGAAGATTCTTCAAAATACTTCTAATTATGTTTATTAAAGTTGACAATATACAAAAAGTAGGAACCAGAGATCAAATTTAAATTAAAAAAAAAAAAAAAAAAAAAAAAAAAAAAAAGACTTGTCAACAATGCCCCCCAATGCTGGGTCCAGTAAAGGAACCATGCTTATTTTACTGACATAAAGGCAGTGCCAAAAAATAATGAAACATTAACAAACCTTTTCTTATATTCTCAGTATGCCCAATTATTTAAAAAACATCCATGAATAAATGACAAAGATATGAACAGACACAACCATCAATGTACTATTTTGACATCCAAGTATAACCCTTTCCCTTCTAGATGTCGACCTGGCGTTTGTGCATGACAAGTGTTCTTAATGTAGTATAACAAAATGTTGCTTTGTTATTTCAAAATCCCTTCATAAACAACAGAATTGATGATATGCCACAACTATCATAAACTTTTCCCTTTCAAGTCAAAGTGTGATTGACCTTTAAGCTACAAACTTGTTCTCGATCATCATACATTGTAGCACTGCATTAAACATTAATGAAAAATTATTTCAAAGTTCATCCAAGAATATCAAAATAATGAACCGCACAAAAAGGGGACAGACAGATGAACAATACAAAAACTATATGCCACCTTTAGGCCACATAAAACCAGCCATGTAACAATACTCAGCAAATTAAAAAGGAAATAATGTTTTATCCCAATCTATAAAAAAAACTATTTAATAATTATTCAATTAAATATAAAGTCAATTTAATTCCTGCATTCTGCTGGTTTTAAATGCTATTTAGAAATGATGCTCTCTAGGTATTAGGGCCAAAGTTCATGATTTCAAAAACCTATTACATGTACAAAATATCATAGAATATTTACCAAGCTGACTATAAGTTTTATAACATGAACATCTTATATCTAACAACAAGGACTACAATGTTTGCACTAGCTAAATATTCATCAAATCTTCTAATGATTTTGTCCGAGAAAATGCCTCCAGACATTTTTTCCCGTCCATATACTCAGAGACACTGTCATCAAGGTCTTCCTGGTGTAAATCTGTTGAAAACTTTGGAAATGATTGCTTTCTACTTCTATTTTCTGCAAGCCTGTTTCAAATGTCAAAAATATAATTATGACATAATGTTTATTTTTTTCCTTTTTATTCAAATCTTTTTAAAAGAGAGCTTGAGGGATTTAGCGCTAAGAGCATAATGTTAGTTCACAAATTGAATCTTTGACAAATCATATTTTTACTACAAAGATTTCTACAAACAGTACGGTTTCAGTATAAAGTAAGTCTTGCAATGAATTATTTCAAGACGGCAACACCTATTTGTGGAAAATTAAGTTCCTACATGTCCAAATTTTAGGAACACTTGTTAGTTGTTTACTCAGGATGATATAATTATCACAATGGTACTTAATTTCACATAAATAAGTAGATCACATAAATATGATTCCGTTATTAATGTAAAGACTACAGAACTCTTTCTTTAATTTCTTAAATGAATAAAGTCACAATATGAGATCTTGTAATAACTTACTGAGAAAAGCAATCATCTAGATTATCATTATCTGTTTCACCGAGATTAAAACTGACTGGGCTATCTTCAGCTGACTCGTCAAATGTTTGCTGCAAATTGCAATATATGTCATGTTAACATACAATATGCATATTCAGGCTGTAATGAAACACTACATGTATTTGTTCTATAAGTAAACTGTTCATATTGTAACAGTAATACAGTGAACCATCTACATGCTTAACAAAATAAGTTTGTCAAAAGTACTCTCACTGATAAACAATAACAGTATCTCATTTTGTATAGTAATATAAGGATATTAAATTTACATGTTACAAGAAACAGTTTCAAACATGATCCTTGTTTCTATACTACTTGCTACCTTAAAACTGACAATTAAACTGAAAGCAGTCACATACCCAGCCTTGTCTAGGACTAGATGAGTTGGTGTATAGAGTTCTAGCACTCTCTGGTTTTGGTAAACTTGGTAGACGTGGATGTGTTTCTGTAAAACAAACAGCACTGGTCAGTCACAAATAAAAAAGTGTGATGATAATCTTCCTTTATTTTTTTCCTCATTATTTGGTAAAATCTTTTATCATAAATTACGTCACTGCAGTGAAATGGAAAAAGTGCAAAGCAAATAAATCTTTGTCTACACCCTACACTCAAACTGTACCCCTAATATTGACAATAAGTTCTTAAAACAAGAAAAAAAAAGTTAAAAAAGATGAATTATTTGTACACCATTTCATAAAAGAGTCACTCAAATATAAAATATGGCACTTACCTGAGAGTAGGTTTATTTGTGGCGCTGATTGAATCTTTCTAGGCGGTACTGGAGGTACTTCAGTATGCTCTACAATTCTATGATTTTCTTCATGTACACTTTGCTAAAGTATTAAATAATGTAAATATTAAACTCCCAAAATTAAACAAGAGGGCCATGATGGCCCTAGATCGCTCACCTGACTTATCAAACTCATCCAAACAATTACCTAGACAAGCATTCTGACCAAGTCTCATGACAGGTGAGTCAAAAATGTGACCACTACAGTGTTAACAAGGATTATCCATATTTGAGCAGTGCGACCTAGTTTTTTACCCAGGTGACACATATTCAAACTTGACCTAGAAATCATCAAAACAAACTTTCAGACCAATTTCCAGGATACTTGGATCAAAACAGTAGCAACTAGAGTGTTAACAAGATTTTTCTATTTTTAGCTCCGGTGACCTAGTTCCACATGCGATTTCGAACTCATCCAAGCAATTACCTAGACAAGCATCCTGACCAAGTTTGATGATAATTGAGTCGAAAATGTGACCACTAGAATGTTAACAAGGTTTTTCCATATTTGGGCGGTGTGACCTAGTTTTTCATCCAAGATGACCCATGTTCGAACTTGACTTAGAAATCATCAAAACAAACTTTCAGACCAATTAACAGAATATTTGGATCACAACAGTAGCCACTAGAGTGTTAACAAGATTTTTCTATTTTTAGCTCCGGTGACCTACTTTTTCATCCGAGATGACCCATGATCAATTTATTCCCAGCAATGACCTAGACAAGTTTCCTGACCAAGTTTGATGACAATTGAGTCAAAATTGTGACCACTAGAATGTTAACAAGGTTTTTCTATTTTTAGCTCCTGTGACCTAGTTTTTCATCCGAGATGACCCATGTTCGAACTCATCTGAGCTATCACCAAGACAAGCATCTTGATCAAGTTTGATGATGATTGATGCAAAAATGTGACCGCTAGAGTGTTAACAAGGTTTTTCTATTTTTAGCTCCGGTGACCTACTTTTTCATCCGAGATGACCCATGTTCGAACTTATCCGAGCTATCACCTAGAAAAGCATCCTGACCAAGTTTGATGATGATTGAGGCAAAATTGTGACCTCTAGAGAGTTAACATGGTTTTTCTAATTTTAGCTCCTGTGACCTAGTTTTTCATCCGAGATGACCCATGTTTGAACTCATCCGAGCTTTCACCTAGACAAGCATCTTGACCAAGTTTGATGATGACTGATGCAAAAATGTGACCGCTAGAGTGTTAACAAGGTTTTTCTATTTTTAGCTCCGGTGACCTACTTTTTCATCCGAGATGACCCATGTTCGAACTCATTCGAGCTATCACCTAGACAAACATCTTGACCAAGTTTGATGATGATTGATGCAAAAATGTGACCGCTAGAGTGTTAACAAGGTTTTTCTATTTTTAGCTCCGGTGACCTACTTTTTCATCCGAGATGACCCATGTTCGAACTTATCCGAGCTATCACCTAGACAAGCATCTTGACCAAGTTTGATGATGATTGGGTCAAAAATGTGACCACTAGAGTGTTCACAAGGTTTTTCTATTTTTAGCTCCTGTGACCTAGTTTTTCATCGGAGATGACCCATGTTCGAACTCATGCAAGCAATTGACTAGACAAGCATTCTGACCAAGTTTGATGATGATTGGTTCAAAAATGTGACGGCTAGAGTGTTCACAAGGTTTTTCTATTTATAGCTCCTGTGACCTAGATTTTCATCGGAGATGACCCATGTTCGAACTCATCCAAGCTTTCAACTAGATAAGCATCCTGACCAAGTTTGATGATGATTGAGGCAAAAATGCGACCCCTAGAGTGTTCACAAGCAATTGTGGACGTACAACGTACGACGGACATTCACCAATCCTAAAAGCTCACCCTGAGCAAGCTCAGGTGAGCTAAAAAGTTACATATTAGATAGTGATAGAAAGACATTTTCAGGAAAAGTTTAAATTCAATGATAGAAAGATATTTTTACGGTTAGGATATTTAAATAATGTTTAAGAATTTATTTGTTCTGTTCAAGTCAACTTATACCTAGTCCTGTTTTTCAAGATTTAAAAAAAAAAACTTACTGTATTTTGGTGTGAATTTTTAATATTCTTTGATTTTTCCCATTGATCTTTAGCAAGATTAAATGCTTGTGAAACCGACAACGTTACAGCCTGGGCCTGGAAACAAATAGCAATAAAAGTTGAATTCTTAAAAAGAGGAATAGGGCTGTCTTTTTTTATAACAAGCAAATTCGTTGAATTTATATCCCCCGCCGAGCACTGGTTATTATTAACACAACAACTGAAGACATAAGGCTTTATATATTTATATATTAATCATGGCATAAACTGTAATATTCTTTGAACTTGAAGCCTTGTACCTTCAAACAAGAAGAAGGAAAATCTATGACCCCCTGGAGTGGGGCCAATTTTGACCCCAGGGCTAAAATTTGAACAATTTTGGTAGAGGACCTATATGTTATATCATATACCAAATATCAAAGCCTTAGGCCTTGTACTGTCAGACAAGATCTTTTAATTTTGCATTTTTGAAACTCCTTTTCTGGCCCTGTGACTGATGATTGTGATTGAAAATTACAAAATTTTACTAAGTCAAGGGCAATAACTCTAAAAATACTAAAAATATCCAGACGAAAATACCCAGGTGCACAACTACACATACTGATCAACATTCCTGTAAAGTTTCATGACTCTAGGTCAAATACTTTTTGAGTTACATGCGACACAAGTTGAAAATTACAAAATTTTACTAAGTCAAGGGCAATAACTCTAAAAATACTAAAAATATCCAGACGAATATACCCAGGTGCACAACTTCACATGCTGATCAACATTCCCATAAAGTTTCGTTGAATTCCAGCCATTAGTTGCAGAGAACTACTCCGGAAACGAAATTCGGACAAAATTTTACTGAGTCAAGGGCAATAACTCTAAAAATACTATAAATATCCGGACGAAAATACCCAGGTGCACAACTACACATACTGATCAACATTCCTGTAAAGTTTCATGACTCTAGGTCAAATACTTTTTGAGTTACATGCGACACAAGTTGAAAATTACAAAATTTTACTAAGTCAAGGGCAATAACTCTAAAAATACTAAAAATATCCAGACGAAAATACCCAGGTGCACAACTTCACATGCTGATCAACATTCCCATAAAGTTTCGTTGAATTCCAGCCATTAGTTGCAGAGAACTACTCCGGAAACGAAATTCGGACAAAATTTTACTGAGTCAAGGGCAATAACTCTAAAAATACTAAAAATATCCAGACGAAAATACCCAGGTGCACAACTTCACATGCTGATCAACATTCCAATAAAGTTTCGTTGAATTCCAGCCATTAGTTGCAGAGAAATACTCCGGAAACGAAATTCGGACGGACGGATGGACGGACGGACGGACGGAAGACGCCAAAACTATATCCCCCTCCCGATTCCATCGGCGGGGGATAATTAAGGTTATTTTTATATTCATAATTGTAACATAAACATTTTTCATCATCAATTATTATGATAGTTAACCTTTTTGAAATATTTGACAAATTCAACTCAACATTAGAGCCAAAAACTGAGCATAATGTCACTTTAATAAAATAACCAAAATTAACAATCATGTGAAATAAAAATTTCAAAATTTGATTCATCCATTGTACAAAAGCAGCATTGTGAACATTCAAATATATTTATTTCTAAACTTAAAATCTTAAGTGTTTCAATTATGCTTTTGTTAATACAGAAATAATTGAAGTGTGTGGTTTTGATGCAGTTTTGACAATTACATATATTTTGATAACAGTATGGGTGTTTAGTTCCTGTAGTCAAGAGCAATGTTAATCTCTTTGTTGTATCATATTACATCATGATATAATCAGATCGTCAAGTATCAATTACGGCTGAAACTATATTCTATCTCATATAAAGGCACTTACAATTTTTTCTTTAGCACAGTAGAAGGCATGGCACTCCATGGTTTCATTGATACTATTTCTAGCAATAAATGCAAACAATTTATCATGATTCCTATCTGCTGTACAAAATGATATCCTGAAATTAATAAACAAAGCAATTAGAATTCATTAAGCATAATAACTACATTATTCTACTGCATATTTACATACTGTATATACAATGACATTACATAATGCATGATATTTGTCTAGAGATGACAGGGATTATGCAAGACTACATGTGTTGGTGTATTTTACAATACACCAGAAAAGCAGCATGGCATCTTTTTTCAACATAAGCATTAAATATCTCAATTTTCAATTACTCAAAAATTTAAATATAGAAACTTTGTGACAATAATTTTGTTTGGATTTTAAGTCACAATGACACAATTAAAATCACAACTTAGTTAGAGTATGACTCTATAATACAATACACTATGTGCATTATATCTGTCACCTTCAAAAGACTTGCTAAATAACTGCAACATATGAATGTGATCATCTCTTACAGAATTTGAATTCACAGCCCTGTTGGACTAGTCTGATTTGAAGTGAACAACTTCCTTGATAAGATCACAGTGACCATGTAACAATCTATACAAGTTACCTGTATATAGACACATCCATCAGTAGCTGTTTACTGTCCATATCTGTTACTTTTATCCCAGACGGTGATACTTTCAAATTTACTTTGTTCAGTTTCCTTCCTTGAGTTCTAGCCTTAATTAAAACAATTTTTCATGTTAAAACATGCAAATCAACCTTTTCAAAATGCTGAAAAAAAATAATACCCCACATACATAAATTATGATAAATCCGACATAAAACAAAATTCATATCAATGCAGATGATCCAATATCAATATCAATTTTTCAAAAAGATACCAATAACAAAAAGAAATATTCTGTCCCAGTTATGAAACATTCAACCTAACTGATGACAAATGATTCAGAGGGTTGGAGTTTGAACTCTGTGACCAGGGCCAAAACACCATTTTTGGGGAAGGGGCCTCAGCCTTTTTCTTGGGGAAAATTCCGTGATTTTGGCATACTTTGGGAAAAGGGGTCTCAAATTTAACACAAACTTTTTAACAAGTTCTTCAAAATAGAAAAGCAAAAAGCACTGGGAAATACTAATAAGGCAGTAAAAGACCCTAATTAAACACCATCATTTAATTTTGTTCTAAATTCTATGGGGAATTTCAAAAGACTGGGGAATTTTGAGGACCAAACTGGGGAAAAAAGAGGCTAGTTTGGTTGGAGAAGCAGCCTATATTCGGCCTCTACAAAGAAGGGTTTTTTGGCCCTGGTGACCTTGTTACTTTGACAACTAATATCAAACCCTTCATGTATTTAAAATTTTGTATCCAGAAACTCTCTTACATAACTAGTCTCAATATTCTGCTATTTATATCTATTACTATATTGCAAAAAAAAATCAATAATTGGATGAAATGATAATTTACAGACACATTTTAACAAAATAGCTTACCATATCAACAATTCTTTGAACTGCCTTGGAACTGACCCCTTCTCCATAACTTTCTCCCTGTGGAAGTTCATCTAACAGTGTTGAGCCCAAATACTTGAGATAAAATGCCACACCCTCTGTCACAGCTTCCCTGTTTTCTTCCCAGCCTTCTCCTAACTCTAAAGAATACCAAATATAAATAAACAATCATAAAATACACAGAATTTTTTTTCTAAATCAAAGTAAGCATCAGCTTAATGAACAATGTCAAATAAAGTTTCCTTTTGTTCCAATAACAGATAGTAATATGAAGGTCCTGAGAAATCTACAAAACAGCGGGTTTAAGGCGGGTTTTATAAAAGTTTACAAGATCAAAAGAAATGTAAACAATTTGGCGCTGTTTTTTTTCACAAGAACTTATAACATTTAGACAGAATTAATTTAGAATTTTCTTATAAATGTTTATTAGTTTTTCTAAACTTACATTAATACAAGAGTTGTCAGGAGACATCTTGCTCCAATAATAAAGGAAAACAAAACTATATAGAAAAAGAAATCAGTTAAAGAGTTATGATATAAATATATTTCTGTAGAAGTATCAGGAGAAGAAAGCAGCGTTTTTTTTTCTCTACTTTGGGAATGGTGCCAGTACAAGACTGATTGGGAAAAAAATGCGTAATTTTGACTTATATTGGGAAAAAAAAAATTTATGCATTTTTCAGCTACAAATAAGATTAGTCTTCATGATTAAAGATAGCAAACAGCTTCAATTGTCCAGGTAGAACTATTGAGTGGTGATTTATATGAATATGTTGAATTTAAATGATTTCAGAGAAATCACTTGGCCTTGTGGGAATTTTGAACAGCCATTTTGGGAATTAAAACATTAGAAATTGGGAATTTTAATGTCTATTTTCTATTGGGAACAGTACCCTTCTGGGTAGTAGTTATATACATGTACAGAAAAAAAAACACTGGTTCAAAGTTACTAAATGTCCAACATTTTTGCACCATATAATATGCATGACTGTGACTATGTCAATGAAAGTGAAATAAAATATCTCCGTCCTAATGGAAAAGACAACAATTTGATAAAATGTTAAAGCATGTTTAAAAGTGTGCTGGTTGGGACCATTGATCAACCAAAAACTTTTTGAACATTTTTCCATTAATATTTCATAATTTTCAACCTTCAGATCTGAAAATTCAACACAGTACAACCAGGTTCTTCTCCTCACTAACAAAATTAGTTTGTTTATTTCTGATTATGTTGACACACTTATCTGAGGCTCATAGAAGAAGGTATCAAAATTACTTAATTACTTAAATTGTCCACACTACAGTACCATTTGTCTGGATAGATATGTAAATGATGTTGATTTAATCCAGGTAAAAACTTAGGTGTTTGAAATTTTAACATGAATATCATTTCAGCAGAAAATGCTAAAGTTTAGGATATTCTACTGTTTACTCTACAAGTCAAATGATTATATGGGGAAGGCAAAGGCCGGGTCCACGAGGCTGGCCCAGGCTTTGGCATGCTTGGCTATAGACTACAAGTGTATATTTAAAAGAAAATCAAATTAAAACAATTAAAAAAAAAATATATACAATTCTATACCTATCAATTAAATTTTCAGTGTCAGTTCTAGTTGGGCGCTGCCATATTCAATGTAACACAATGACAATTAGGTGGGGTATTCCGATCGGAACAAATCTCAACTTTTCGTATCATTACTGGGAAGATAAAGTCCGGGCCAGCTGCCCTAGACTACTTGTGTATATTTAAAAGAAAATCAAATATACAACAATTAAAAAATATATAGAATTCTATACCTATCAATGGAATTTTCAGTGTCAGTTATAGTTAGGCACGGCCATTTACAATGTAACTCAATGATAATAGGCGGTGTATTCTGATAACGGTACAAATCTCAACTTTTCAGATAATCGTTGAGTGTTCCGAGTGAAAACAGAACCAGTGCATGAAATATCAAATGACACCTTTAAAACAGAATAATGAACAGAATTTTTTAACAACTTCCCCTTTCATAACCTTGGCCTAATTCCATGTTAATAGCGAGCTCCACAAGCTGGCCCAAAGGGCCTGCTCGCAAAGCAAGCTTTACGGTAACGCGAGTACCTGCTAAGTGATGGTTTTGAAAACTTTCGTCCGAAGTAGCGAATTGGACACATCGCAACTTTTCGAATTACAAGATAATGATAAAAGCCGATGTACTCTGATTGAAAACGGAAGCGTAGACTGGTATCCTGCGCACTTCTATAGTAACCATAATAGAAAGGGGGAACCAGAATAAATGGAAGCAGTGTATAAAAAACCGAATGACAATTTTAAAACGGAAAATGTAAAATAAAAATGAACGATTATTTTAAACTATCTTACGGTAAAAGAAAATCGAGCTCGCTTTGAGGCTTTGCCTTTTTCATATTAATCGTCAAGTGCTACGAATGAAAGCAAAAGCTGTACATAAAATACCGAATGACACAGTTCTATAAAACGGAAAAATGAAAGGATTTTTGTTACAGACTTTTGCCTAATTTCATATTTATCAGCTAGTACAAGAGGATGATTTATGGACAACTTCACATCTTTTTTTATTAAAAATTTAATTCTTCTAAAAGTAAAAAGAACGAACTTGATAATTTTTATGAACTCATTTTGGCTCAAAATTATTTTATTTTTAGGTTGTCAAGATCATGAAGATTGAAAAAATACTTACTGCTATGTTTTCCAGCCTGTGGACTCTTCCTCACTTTTCTGAAGAGTGACTCCATAAGGAAAATGGTTTTTTGAGAAAATTTTAAATCGACATCAATGCATATGCATTACAAACAACTGAGGGTGTATCTAAGAAAAAATTTGCAACATTCTTTGCTGTCGTACGACTTATCTAGTAGGGTTTATTGTTTTAAAAAATCAAGTATTTTGTTAAGCACAAATATCAGCAAACCAGACTGCAAAGGGAGACAACCTCTACAACGGCTCAACATTGAAATTGGCATTTGTAAAAATCACTATACTTTGTAAAATGAACATCACTAAAATTATTTTTTTTTAAGTTGAACATAACTAAATTTTTCATTAAGCAGAAGTGGAAGGTTTTCAAATAGATAAAAACGTATATAGAATGCCGAAAACGACAAAATTGAAAATGCTATAGGCTTGGTTTGTTTGAGACAGTTCATGGCTGGTACTGGAAACGCCCCTAGCACCGGCTTTAGCAGATTCAACATTTTAACATGAAAATGGTGAAATTTTGAGAAATATCCACAGATGTTTTTATATTGCAGTTATCATGTAACCTTCAATGAGGCATGTTAGTGCCATTCCATGAATAGTGCGTATGGTCTCAAGAAGGGTTTTTGATTTAGTTTTAATTATTTGTTTGATAACGAGGAGATTTTAATTATATTGATATCTTGGAATACAAGCTATTTTTCCTTCAGCTAATTTGAGTGCCAGCTCTGGCTCTGCAGATGTTAATGTCCAAAATAAAATCTGTTAAAATATGATAAGCAAGATCTGAACAAGGAAGGGCGGTGTTCAATGAATGTAGCCCCCACACAACCCAGCAACAAGAACCAGCGGCAAGGAGCCAAGGAGGACCCCTGGACAACAAGAACGTGTTTGTTAAACACAAATGCCCCAGACTCAGATTCTTGTCAGTAACAATATTTCAAAAAATGTTTAGGACTAGGTTTAGGACAGAAAAATGCCAAAATAATTGTTAACAGTTATATAACTTGGCAGAGTCAAAAGTGTAATAATCTATTATTAGCACTCAGGTGACCTTTACCCAACTGACCCCTAACTCCATCCAAAGGAAGTATACCATGTAAGTTGTCTTCCTACCAGATATGAAATACATTTGTTAATAAATGAAGGCTATATGGGCAAAAGTGTTAAAAAGAATCTATTTTTAGCACTGGTTACCTTGACCCACTGACCCCTACCTCAATCAGAAGGAAGAATACTATGCAAGTTATTTTCCTACTAAATGTGAAAGACATCTGTCCATAAATAAAGGTTATATAAGCAAAAAAAAAAAGTAAAAAATCTATTTTTGACATTCATGACCTTGACCTTGACACAAATGACCCCTAACTAAACCCAAAGGAAGAGGACCTCCCTTAGCAATTTGTATTAAACATTGATGACATCAACTAAAAATTAAAGGCTGTATTAAAAAAAATTTTTTTACACCAGTGACCTTAACCCGAGAGACCATTGAAGGTATCCACCTACCAAATATAAAAGTTATCATTAAATAAATGATGTAATTAGGAGATTTTCAAGATAAATCCAACTTGCTCCATACAAGGCCCTATTTTCAAAGTGGTAAAAAGGGAAATAACTGGGAAAAATGGATGGCACAGTTATATAACTTGGCAATATCATGTAGTAAGTGTGGTAATTATAGATATAAGATATATCCAACTTGCCGTTTTAGGTTAACCAATTATTCATTTTCTAAGTGCTCAAAAGGAGGAAATAACATCAATTTTCCTGTTACCTATAATTGTTCTCACAACAAATACTGTTATTGTGGGACTGGCATTGGACAACACAGATCTGGGAAAGAAAAATCATGATTTTGTTGCATAATCTAATAATTAACAGAAATGATTGGAATTAATTACATGTATAGGACACAATCTGAAAAAGATCAACAGCACCCCTAACTTGATGCAGTCCATGACATTATTTATGTAAAACAAGAAAAGACCTGGTTTATGGCCAGAACCAATGGAACAGAACTGAAATTACAGGTGACTTAGGATAAGCATTCTGGACAGTAAATGATTTTGACTTCCAATCATTCAAAAATCTGCATTTCCTTGTGAAATTGTAAGTTCCATAAATGTCAACTTTAGATGATAAATGACAAAGCATAACTTTGTCAAGGAAGGGCATAATGACAAAACTATACTAACAAGGCCTTACAGATGCCTAAGAGATTCTTAGAGTCAGGCACAAATTAAATCATGAAGGGACATCCTGGGTTTTAAAACATCATTTAAGCTGAAAGCCACAAGCAGTGTTGGCAACAAGTCTGACGAAATAAAAAAAATTATTACTCTTCAAATGATAAGCTGACATTTTTTGCTGCAAAAAAGTTATCATTTGAAAATCATTAAATGAAGCAACCAAAAGAATAAGATAGTCTATATACCAAATTTATCCCCTTTTTCTAAACAAAATTGAAAAATAAGAACAACAAAAAACTTCATTCAACAATCATTTAATTCATTACATTGTATCAACAAACATTATTTCAAGTCAAGTTATATCAAAATAAATACATATATAAGTGGTTATCTGTGCAAGAACTATTCTAGGACACAACATTTCATATTTTGTATAGTACGGTACTTGTCATACATCTAGTACTGTCAGTCATAAATACATGTACAATAAAATCTGTGCAATAATTAAGGTCTTTGAAAATACAACAATACAACCTGCTGTAAAAAACATTGCTTTAATTTTTTTATGCAAAAAAAGAATAGTAAAAACTTCTTGATTTAAGACATTTTTTTCTATTAATTTTATATTACAACATCAACATGCAAAATAAATACTTGATACAACATATATTCCGTTATAATCATAAATGCAATTTTGTAAACAGAAAACAATTAACATATTACCAATTTATGCAATCATTTCACATAAGAAAATTCTGTTTCTGTCGTTACCCACCAATTATTAAATCATGGATTCTGAACCAGCCGATTTACAATACATGTATTCATTCAAATGTTTTGAAAATTGTTCTTATTAATGTGATAAATTTAAACAAAATATGTAATAACAGAAAACACAACAATTAGAAAACAACAAAATAAAAACTAAAACAAAATATGAAGTTACAGAGAAATTTATGCGTTGAAAGAAAAGGTATATTTACTGGTATTTGTGTTATTTGGAATGAAATGAAAGGGCAGGAATGTTTTTATTTTTCTTATTACATTTAACTTCTAAATATCTTTTTCTTTCTATCACTTCCCACAAATTAAATAAAAAAGGAATAGAGGCACACTATAACCAGTATTCATTGTACACAGAATAACTTTCACATTTATACATATAGTATAAGAAATTGCTGATATTTCTGGATTATCAGACATAGAATAGGTTCATACAGATGGCATTAAAAATGGCAACTATAGATAAAATATAGAACAAAATAGTTTATAACAGCTGAATCTCAGTTTTAGATTAAAAAAGCTTCAACTAATATTTCATCTCATTATTTGGGGTCATGTAGCATCAACTAATATTTCATCAGTAATGTAGCATCAACTAATATTTCATCAGTAATGTAGCATCAACTAATATTTCATCAGTAATGTAGCATCAACTAATATTTCATCAGTAATGTAGCATCAACTAATATTTCATCAGTAATGTAGCATCAACTAATATTTCATCAGTAATGTAGCATCAACTAATATTTCATCAGTAATGTAGCATCAACTAATATTTCATCAGTAATGTAGCATCAACTAATATTAATTTTCATCTCAGTTTTTTTTTTGAATAACGTAGAATCAACTAATATTTTATCTCATTCTTTTTTAGTATTAAATGTAGCATCAACTAATATTTTATCTCAATTTTAAGTAATGTAGCATCAACATATATTTTATTAGTAAGCATCAACTTATGTCATATCTTAGTTATAGCATCAACTAATATTTTATCTCAATTTTTGGAGTAACGAGCATCAACTTATATTTTATCTCATTTTTTTAAAGTACATGAAATGTAGCATGAACATTATAGTGAGTACTATATTGTAACAAAGATCAGGTTGTAACACCATGTAGAGGTGAGACTAGGTCTTTCAACATCGGTTGTGTTACAGGCCAGTCATCTGGGTTACAGTCTTTAACTTTTAATTCTTCATCATCTAATTGTCGAGGTATATGTATAGGCATCTGTTGCCCTGTTACATTCAGTAACTTCAACTCCAGAGGTCCAAGTTGTAGATAATCCTGAAAGAAGATAATTATACAATATACACTGACATTAAAAATCATAAATACTAAAAATGTTAGTTCATTATGTAATTACCATAATTTATTTCATGTAAAGTGTTGTTCTTAAATATACTAGTAAACCTTTTAATCAGTATGAAAACTCAGTATGAAGTATAAAACTTAATTCAGTAACATGTAAACCAAAAGAATTATAACTACACATATATACCACCACATTCTGCTGTTTTGTCAGAGTAAGAAGGATGGACAAGGGGAAATCTATATGCCTCCCTACCCAAGTGGGGCAGAAAAATAAATGATACTCACTCCCCAGTTTTCTTCCTCATAATACATATTGTCTAATAAATCTGTGTCAACACTCTCTGTATCTGAAACAAATAATCAAAATATGTTACATCAAATTTTTTCTACTCTATATGGATAGATTTATCATATTTATTTTATATCTTTTTATCATCTGTTATATTACAAATTTTGTTTTTAAAATATTGGAAAAAAGAAAGAAGCCTAAATAACTGATTTAGACAAAAAAGAAACTTTAACATTGAAATCCATCAATTCTAGAGTATGGATCAGAAAAAAAAAGTTTTTATATTATTATGTAATATATTACAACAGTTGCTGAATAAACTTTGGAAATTTAAAGAATAAAGCTGTTAAAGTTGAGAAAATAAAACAATTTATTTCAAGTTCATTTCAATCAGCACAGGGTACATGGCACTGTTTAAGAAGATTTTAAATAAGAAAAGACCTTGTTAGGTAACAAATACAATAAATTACTTTCAATGGATGTACCGTATTAAATAAAATGCCACTATTTTGATATTTAGATAGTCTATTTCCTTTATCTTGAGAGTCGTTGGGAAATCTCAAGTATGAAACTGTTATAACTGTCCATAAATAATGAGGCAGATACAAATTCAAACTGAGACAACAATTTATTTACAGCATAATGCTTATGTACAATAATTCATTTGTTTCATTCTAGGTAGGGCTTTTTTTCCATGTTAGGTAAACTTTAGTGCAATATTTATACAGTCATGTACATGTTAGATTATGTTTAACTTGGTATTAAGTCATATTGATATTTAGAACATAGTGAGGTTATAAAACATCTGGTGCTGAAATATAAAGGGACAGTACATAACACAATGTTATAGAAAATTAAACGTAAAAAGTCCTGTGTAAATGCTGATATAAAGAATAAGCTATAAAAATTAAAGAAAAATAAAATAAAGGTGGTTAAGCCACACGGAAGTATTAAAAGCAAGTCAGAACAAATATCTCATATATCAAGCATTGAATAAAAATGGAAATCTTTTAATTTGGTGAAATTCAAAGAATGTTTGTGGCAACTTATTATGGTCAGATCTAGACTTATTTAGGCTTATCTGTCAACATTTAAATGCTAAATTCATAGAAAGACAGCTAAATAAAATATTTTCCCTTTTGTTCTAAATTAGTAATACTGATAATTAAGACCCATAAGAATCATTAGCATCATTTTTCAGGAAATGTTCATTTTTGACATATTATTGAAAAGTATGAATCATACAAATGTACATGTAATACCAAATGTGGACATGAATACATATACATGTATATACAAGTGCAATATTATTTTCCCCCAGTCTATTTCGCAAAAACCATAACCTTTCCTATATTGTAAACAAACCTTGCATTATTCTACAATAAGATATAGCTGGTATAACTAAATTTCAAGTATAATATAACATGACTGGCTATAGATCATAGTGTAGCATATAACATACAGTGACAACACCCTGTATTTACTACTCCGCTGCTACAGTTTACTCCCATGCTGACTCCAAAATCTGACTTTCATAGAGTTTCATAAAATCCCGCTTTCTTTGTTATTACATTGAAAAAAGATATTTTCATAACTAATTATCTAAAATACATGTATGAACAAATTGTTTCAAATTAGAAATAGATAAATCTTTTACACTCCCCCAATGTAAATTTAACTCCCTGTCTTATCCAATTCAACCAATATCATAAAAGCAGCTTATATCAGAGGGGAATGACTTAAATAACTTTAATAAAAGTACCAATTTATAGATATTTGTAATACTCCAGAAAAGTTCTAAATAAGAAAAAAAATACTTCATAGAGTTAAGAAAAGATAAAATGATGAAGACAGAAGGAAGGCAGAAATACATGTGAAATATTTAACATTCTTGATAATCATAACATAGTATAAATACTGCTACAAATAAAATTTGACAGAAATGAATTATATGCAAGAAAAGAAAAGAAAATCTGCTTCCACACAGGACATCTACAAGTTATATCAACATTTACTGTGAATTACTTACCATCATCTGATATAGATGTTTCTAAACATAAATCATTCATACTTTGTTTAATATATCATAAATTATAGATGTAGTAATTAAAGTAATTTCTTTATTTATATTTTGCCATAATGTACTATATATAACCTGTTATTGAGTAAAAATTGATTTTCTGAAAACAAAACACTGGCTGAGCAACATAAATAGGAACTGAGCATCATACTGATACAAAAATTTAACTACAAGCAGAACAATGTTTCTGTGTGATGTTAAAATGACCTGATCAGTGTAAAAATGGATCTGAGCACTTAAACATCATGTCCTAACCTGAACAAAGTCACACATATTATAGCAGTTCAGAAATCTACTGAACAAGTTTGCTTTTTGAAAAATAAATATTTTTAAAAAAAAAAAAAGCTGCTATGGCCTGAGTGGTGTAGCTATGACCTGAGCATCAATTCTATAGTCAGAAAACCATGGCTATGACTTAGCAATTCAAATATGACCTGGAAAAAAACTTTGATCTAAACAATGTAGATATTGCCAAAGCTATGACCTGAAACACAAAGCTTTAATCTGAGCATTGCAGCTATGACATAAGCAACAATGCTGCGACCTGACCAATTTACATTGTAGCTATGATGTATGCATTTCAGTTATGAACTGAATAATATACCTTATGACTGGAACAATAAAGCTATGATATGAGCATTAAGCTATATGATCTTAGAATAATAACTTATGAAACTCTGAATAAGACTATGGCCAAAGTATATGATCAAAGAGCAATTCAAATTTGACCCAACAAAGTCTTATGTAACTAGTGCAGCAGATTGACTATGAACTTGGAAATATAATTATGTACTGACAAAAACTGCCTTGAGTTATTTTATTACTATTTAAATAAAGTAGACATAGATATAACATATTTTTATCATTGGTTGTTACGTATAGTGAATAAAATTGATGGACAGTTTAATTATTTTGTGTATTCTTAATTTTTCATAACTGACTCCTATAAATTATTGTAAACACAGCCTATCTCTGCCATTGTAAGGGTTGGGGATATACACTTAATAAAAGCACTAATTAAATATACTCCTTATGTTATTTGAGAAAATAAGGATATCACTTAAGATCCTATTGCATAAATTAAAATTACAATCACTTCCTAGATAACTCAATAGGTTTTAACTTATATCATCATCATGTAAAGAGGTTTTTCTCAATATCTTAGAATATACTAGTTAATGTCCTGTTTACCTAGAATAACTTATATCCCTATCAAAAGAACTCATAACATATCCTTTTAAAAGTTGTATACTTGAGTACTGATCAAATATTTTGTGGGTTTTTATAATGATTATATAGATCAGTATTGAGAGTGCAGAGACCTAGTGGTTACGGTGTCTTCCTCTTCACCATGATAAAATTGGTTGAAATGATACATGGGTCATGGCCATGTTTAATATAGCACCAGTACTGGTTAGATCTAGGAAGCAACATAGAGAAAGGTTTAAACAAGTTTAATACATAAAATGATCCTTGCTTAATAACTAAAGAAATCAACATATTGTCTTAATGACATCAAATTAATTGTAGCTATATTAATTATAAAAATTATAAACTGAATGTGGCTCCTATAACTTTTTTAATTTGCTAGTGTATAAAATACAGCGGGACATGAAAGGGAGACAAGTCAGTTATACTCAAAAGAAATAAAGTAAGAGTTATCTTACCACTTTCTTCATCCTCTTGTATGGAGGCTTGCACTAAAGAGAACACCTTGTCCTGTACAGCACGATGTGTAGCACTCATTGGTCTCTCTATAAACAAAGGAAGAAAGTTTAATTTTATTGACATTAGAATGTTTACATGTGTTGCACAATGGATCAAGTTGGGATCTTATATCAAGAGAATGGGTTAGAGAGCAAGGTGTAAATTAAAATCTAATGGAAAAGGGGTAATCCGTCAAAAGCACTGAAAACAAAAGCAAAAAGGTAAAAACTGCAGACTTGGTTTGATAGAGTCTGTAAGTGAAAGGTGCAAAATCTCTCAAGCCCCTTAACATTGTGTAAGGCAATATTCAATCTTCAATAAGATAATGTATTGAAATCAATAATCCTGAAAGACCTGAAAAATATAACAACAAAATTAAAACATTAAAGATAGTTTATTGATAATCAATGTATCTAGTGATCTCCAACTCTGTCTGTCCCTGCAACTTAAATATATCTTTTGATCTTATGTTACCAGTAGATATATATATATAAATTTATCTATTTCTTTGAAAAAGTATGGCAATTAGACTTTATAGCTTATACCTGTTTTTGCCTGGTCACCGCTTGATTGTTCTATAGATAATTGTTTTAGGTCCATCTCCAATATACCATCTTCATCTAGATTCTCACCCTCGCTAAACTGTGTCAGGAAAAAGTTCCTGAATATATTGAAAAACAAGAATTTGTAACAGAGTTACCTGAACATCCCCTGCCTTAAAGTGTGCTATTTTAAAAGATTGAGGTACGGATCTGGAATTTCAGTGCAAAATATTGATCAATGCTAGATCTGCATATGCAACAATAAATTCATTAAAGAAATATATAATGAAATAACTCCTGTGTTTGTGTCAACAGAAATGCATTTGTATAGTTGTTATCACTATTTCAAAGCCACAAAATGTCATACATGTGAACCCTACCGATTTGGGCGGTAGACTACCGATTTTGGCCAACTAAGACCCCCCTACCGCTCGGGGTTTACAAACTACCGATATTTCATTTCAAAAGCAATAAAAATTTTACAACACAAGCGTTTCGGTAATCATGATCAGTGTAAACATTTATTGACTGGTTTACTGATATCGATTCGTTTTACCCATCCACAGTGTGTCTATTTCACTAAAAATGTAACACAGTCTAATTACCTTGACCTTGGTATCGGCAAATTTGTTTGTATATTGTCAGTTTTTCACAGCTTGACTTCGGGGTTTATAATTGCTGATAACAGTAATTAGGCACATGCGAGGGAGACTAAAATCTGGTAAGTACCGTTTATTGTTAAACAAATACACTGTCAATTAATGCCAATTATGTTATTTTGAATGAAAATTGTTAATTGTCATGGGGATTAACATGCATCCACGACAGTTGTCTACAAAATGTAATATTCTGTAAGGCTATGATTTACATCTAATTGGAAGGATCAATTTAAACTGTTTTAAATTATGAAATGATGAATAATATATAAGGTATGATAATTGATATTTTTTTTCTGTTTCAGGGATCAGAATATACCATGGAAGCAATGCATTGGGTATGGGTCTGACAACGCTAGTGTCATGGTTGGCCGTCACAACTCTGTCCTATCTCGTATTCGTGAGAAGCAACCTGATGTGTCTGATATGGGCTGTGTATGCCATTTAGTCAACACTTGTGTACAGTGAAGTCAAAAAACATGTATGACATATAAAGACAGTTCTAATTGTGTAAAGTGTGTAAGTGAAAGTTGAGTCAATTACATAAACATCAAAACACAAGTGCAGTGGAAAAAAAAACATGTATGTTTTATAAAGAAAGTTTTTTAATGATAAAATTGGGTTGTTAATTTGTTATCATGCAAAATAAAATGTTTTTAAAGAACTTGTAGTTAATGCTTTTAATTATTGTGTGTTAAGACCTTCCTGTACGCAAAAAGTCCGGTTTCCAAAAATCTCCCTCCCAACAGACTCAATCTACCTACTTTTAGGGTCAAATCTCCCTACTTGGCACCAGAAAAAGTTCACATGTATGCAATGTGACAAATACAAAACCAATACAGGGTTTGACCTGTGTTACAGATCTGGAACATTTTGTCCAAATTGAAAGATGGTCAACTTCATTTAATATATATAGCATAGTAAGGGTTAAAGTGGGCATAAAAAGAACAAATATCACTTAATTGTTAGATAAAATGAAATATCTGGTGTAAAAAAAATATAGTCATAAGTCTTCCTTATTAGAACAGCAAGTTTACTAGTAACTTTCAACAGTACATGTATATCAAAACACTTTCATACTAAATAAAAGTCTAAAAATAAACACACATAAACTAATATATACCTTGATATTTTCAAGTCTTCAATTTTACACTCAAACAAGTCTGCCATGATTTCTAGATTACCACGTTCAATATCCTCAACTTCCTTCATCAAGTCCTCTGTTTCCCTTCGGTGTATCTGGACCTTAACAAACACAGTGATATAAGTAACCAATGAACGAGCATCTGAATATGACTTTCTATCTTTATCCCTTTCTCTGTCATCAGAATAAGTAAACCCCAGAAAAAATGAGCCAATCAATGAGCAAGCTCTATTTTTATTCCCGACAGAGAGTATGGTAACTCGAGTGGCAGGTAATACCTACACTCCAGTTAACTTGCACTCCAGCGCTGTGCATGTATGTGTATATGATAATATGCAAACTACTGTATGAACTGTATGATACAATCATTACTAACAGTGTAGGTTCAACTTCTGATTACTTCTGATACTTTTATTTCTTCTAATTTCAGTTAAATTATCAGATATAAAAATTGTTAAATCAATTAAATATTTTTACCTCTCTTTTCAACCAATCATTGTCTAGTACTTCCTGTCTGCTGTGTTTGTCCATCTGATTAATAGCTTTCTGTAATGATTAATGAAAACAGACAATGTTTAACAGAGAGTTCAAAGATTTACCTGTTTATGTTGCCATGGAATTTATTTCTGTTAAAATAAACTCTTATGTAAAGAGCATTTCATTATTTTAAATGAACTAAATCTGGGGTATAGCAGAATATTTCATAGAAAATTATATAAAATCAATAACTTTAAAAGTAATCATGTTATATCAATTTAATTGAAAACTCTTTAATGAAATGAATAAGGTTTCAAGAATTTTCTTATAAATTAAGTGACTATCAAACTTACTTCTGAAGCCCTGTGTTTCTGTTGATCTACTTTATCATTTGTGTATTTCTCTATTTCATCCTTTGTTTTTGCCAGACTGCTGTCCAAATGGCCTGTAACATACAGTAATAAAACAGTAGCAACAATGACACATGTTAACTTGTAGTCAAATCTTAATGGCATACGCTATAGTTACATGTTGAGGTATTATATTCTAAGATCATGCAAAGTTTAAATAAATTCAGTTTTCATGCTACCTATATGTTTATTTGTTGCATACTATGACTTTATAAGAACTCCGCTACAATAATTGTTTAATTAATAAACTATATCAGTTTAATCAACTGATAATAAAATGAATATGAATGCAACATAATGCAAAGTTTTGAAATTGTAACAAGGTAATGAAAGAAATTTTAATTTGCATAGATAAACAAATAACTTGTTTAGAGATTTCAATTATAATGACACAATATTTAACTGTGCAGTCATACCATGTATACACATGTATTTTTTCAATCTTTGCATAAAAAATATAGAAAATGTGATTCTTTTCACCTTCCTTAATATTTCTAATGTAATTTTTTGAATAACTCAAATAACAAAAATTGTACATGAACAAGAATAATCAAATGATCAAAACATGATACACACATTAATACAATAACACTACAGGAGTTAACTGCACAAAAATGTTAAACTAATTCAGACATACATCCTATTAGTAACTATATCAGAGCTAGCAGCAATGGCCATATTTTACAATCTGCACAGTTTATCCAAACTCTATCCACATGTACCTTTGATACTTATTTTATTTTCAAATGTTCTGAGCTGGACAATGCAGAAATGTAAGATATAAAAAAAAACATGTTGATGTCTTTATAATATAGCACACCACAGTTTGTGAATATGTTTAAGTTCTCATTGGCTATACACTTCATGAACATGATTACCATTTAAAATCAAAATACAATAAGATAAAATGCTTTAAAGTAAATTAAAATATTTTAAGAGAAATATTTTCAACCATAATGATAACATTATGAAACATCATAATTGTTTTGCAACACAGCAAATAACTTTGGATAAAAAAAACTTCATATGGATAGTAACAAAACATTTCAATCCACAAACGTCCAAAAGTTCTTTAATGAATTCAAATTCAATTTAAATGAAATGTTCATGCATTAAGGTAAAAATCAACCATTTTCACCAATAAGAAACCTTACTGTGATAAATAGCTATTGCTCTTGGTTCTGAAACCAAGTAATTCATCAAGACTGTTAAGACAAATACTACATAAAGAACAGGCAAATGTAAAGAATTGTTATGGGATAGACAAAATTTTATTTAAAAGATGTAATACATTTGTATTTTTGGTATATTTTTTTCTAACAATTTTATTTTTAAGTGTTTTTTAAGTGTTTACAGCATAGTAATAAAAGGTATCTGTATAAATTGGCATATGTAATAGATATACAAATAATTTGTAATAAACCAGCTCAATCCTGAAGTGACATAGCAATATGGACAGAAACTGCATAAGCACATTCCAAAAACAAAGTGTATATAGATGGAAACACATAAAATGAAATACACAAACATAGTTTTGGTCATATAATAACATATCAAGAGACACATCAGTGTAATAACATATATGATAAATAATAAGACAATCTAATTCAGAAATGAATATGTTATAAAAGTTTGAACATCATTTATTCCAGCTAGCTTTGTAAAATCCAGTTCATGCAAACTCTACTTACAACTTTTCAGCTTGTTTCCTGGAACAAACCAGTACTAGAGTTGTAAGAGGGGGCATATTTGTGACCACTGTAGTGCTTAAACCCATGATCTGTGGGTTGAGAGGTAGACAGTTTAACCACTATACAATAGCTCCCCTTTGTATTATATTTCATTGTAATGGGAAATGAAAAGCAGAATAAGTTTGTAATATATTTCACTGTACTAGGAAATGAAAAGCAGAATACGATTATTGAATGATATTAATGACTATATCTATATTAAGGGGAAACTCCAAAACCTACAGGTAAGAAAATTAACTTTCCTCCTTGCAAAAGTAAGGGTTGGTTGGAAAACCAGAACCTGAACTCACCTTTCATCTCATTAAAACTTGTGTTCATATCATCAACCTCTTGTTCCAGTGTTCTGACGAGTGTAGCATGATCATGTTGACCACTATCTTTATATCTAGTCCAGTATTCTACCTGTTTACTTTGTTTAGCTATCTCACTCTCTGTCTCTGCAATCACTCTTTTCAATTCTGTAATCAATTTAATTATTATTTTAATAATCACAACAATCACTTTAAATATCTCTTTTGTTTTATGTTAAGTTTTAAGTTAAGTTTTATGTCAAGTTTTTAAGTCAAGTTTTTTAGGTGAGTTTTTAAGTCATCTCATCAACTAACAGTTAAAATGCAGACTTTTTATGTTAAATTGTGATGGAAATCATCAGACATTCTCCATGAATTATTTCAAAATAAGGCAGGAAAATGTGTAGAAACAGCCATTGTCATTTGCTGAATAGCTTTTTATTTTCTTCTGTAAAAATTGTACCTTAAAAATAATCTATGATAAAGTTTTGATTGTTTCATGCAAACAAACTCCATAATTTCAGTGTTTGAGTAAAAGATCAATTATAACATTGTTATTCTGTAGCAGGCTATCTGACATCATTATCCTTATGTCAGAACAAGTCATATATATAATATTGATATTGATAATTGCAAACAGAAATGAACAAATTTTGTTAAATTTTGCAACTGTGCATCATTTCAAACTTTACCAGGCAGGTATATAACTGTGATCCTAACACAATGTACAGAAAATTAAGTGCATACAAATCAGACTGTTATTTAATGTAAAATGTACCTTCAATTTGTTTTCCTCTTTGTCTTTCTTTATTCCATTTATCATGCATTGCTGATATAACATCATCTTTATGTTTCACCTCCTCACCGGCAAACATTTTCTCTGAATCCTTCGCTTGTTTTAGCAGGTGCTTTATTAACAACCCTTGTTCTTCTTTCAACTTGTCATTCTAGAGACATATAATGTACATTATACAACAAAACTAACAGAATACTTAATAACAATACCGTAATCTAAATCTCTGACCACAAACCAAAATACTATTGATAAAACTAAGTTTCAAAACCTGTTTGGCAAAAACTAATCTTGGACATTTTGTCTTGTCTGGCCACCTGATATCCTGTCCACTAAAATCTTGATTTTGACACAATTTACAATGCCTGGGATATTCTGTACAGTCAGACATCATGTATAAATGACGTACTGATATCAAGACTCATTTTAGATGGAACAAATTTCTAGAAAATATTCTTCTGTCTGTTTATTAAATTAATGTAACAGTAAAGAAATGCTGAGGGTGATATACATGTATGCTATAAAATGTGACAAGGTCATAGTTTATGTATGTACCAAAGTGTGTATTTTGAAAAAAGAAGTCATTAGAATGAGATTTAAAGGAACTTCACTATGGTCAAAAAATCTAACAATACAAAATTTGAATTTCTTATATACATATAAATCACCTGAAAACAGACAGATATACCAAAGATAATAAGAAGTTTACACAAAATAAAATATATAATTCATTTTTTTGTACAATGTAATGAATTCATAGTCTCATATTTTTAGTTCAGTTTGCACAATAAAAATGATTATCCTGGAAAAACAGAGTGAGGTGGGAATGATCTGAAATTTTGCACACAGTTATTGATCAAGACCTTTTTCAAATGTTACAGAAATCTTGAAAAAATATTTCAAGTCCTGTTATGCCAAAAAAAAAAGTAAATGGAGTCCCTTTAATAATAATACTTACCCTTTCTTGATGACGTTTATTTTTCTCCTCCCATCCTCTTGTCTCATACATCACATCCTCCAACTTCTTTTCAATTACATTTATCCTGAAAGACAATATAATTTACAATATACCATTGTAAAAATGTTGCCCCTCAAATCAGGCTGAACCAATGATGGCTATAAATTAATTCAATGTAAAACAGGTATCAAATTATTATTATTTATTATTATTATATTATTATTATATTATATTTAATATATTATCTTCTGAAAGGTGTAAAAGGGATTGATCTTAACTTACTGATATGCCAGGATGGCTTCTTTGGCTGTCATTTGAGGCTCCTTGGACTTCTTCCCCTTCTTCCCCTTCTTGCCTCCCTTCTTTCCTTTCTTCCCTCCTTTTTTCTTTGCTCCCATTTTGTTATTCTAATGTCTTGGCTGTCTAAAATAAAAAATACATAAATGAGTATTGTAATGGTAGGTGGATAATCTCAAATCTTTCTCATTTTAATATCAACGGTAACAAATTGAAGAAAAAGTATTTTTGATGTGTGAATTCATTAAGTAAAATATATCACTGTAATCTTGGACTATACTCTGTGTGAGTGTTTTCACATCAACATTACATAAAGCATAAAAGGCTGGCTACTTGGCCAAGATCATGGTACTTTGCTAAAATCCCATAAAATAATACACTATAGTCTAATGATACAGTAACCATACTAAGATAGTTGAACCATGATTAGCTAAGATATCATAATCTATGATCTTTCAAATAATCCCAGTATCCTATAAATTCTTTTTTTATTTAACTTTGAGACACTTTTTAACTTTTTGACTTGATACATTTTCTTACTCTCGCAAACGGTTTGAAAAAGGAAAGCAGATAGCGACTGGATAGAACACAACTGTGTTTCATATCCGAATTATATGACACTTTCCGTTTTTGTTATTTGTAACAATGCGTCGTGCAAATATTTTTTTTTAAATAAATTATACGTTAATAACATAACAAGATACTGACTTTTTGTGTAAATTATACATTATAACCAAATATTTATCGAGAAAACATGTATTTACCAGAAAAAGTTTCAATAAGTTTAGCAGGGGCACCTGTTGGACGCCATATTTGTTTATCTAGCAACAAAAATAGAAGTGAATATTTTTTATCATTTATCGTACAAAAACAGGTGATGTTTACGGCTTTTATGAACACATGTATGTAAACAATCAATATCAAATAACATAAATTGAAATAAAAAGTATATAATTCCTTTCAATAGTTCACATAAGTAGTAAAACACTATAATTATTTACATAAATATTATTCCTTACTTGAAATTTGAGTTGTCCCCCTTTTAAACTCTTTAGTTACCTCAGCAACATAAAAACAATATGGCTGCGCCCATGAATTTAGTAAACAAGGTAAATTTTTGAGTTTACTGCCTTTTTTACCTCATAATTAGTTCAAATTAATGGCCAAATTAACAAAAGTACAGTTGTTTCATTTGATTTTAACATTTTTGAATAACACAGTAAAAAGATGTTTCCTTGCCAGGCTTCTTTGTTCTCAAGAAATTGATGTCTCTTTGATAAGACCATTTCTGTGGTTTAGTACAGGTGTTTTGTTCTGAAACAGATGTGTGTGTAAGCTAGTAAAATAACAAGCTGTCTTTGAAGGACTTTATTGAATGTTGCAAAAAATCTTGAAAATTAAGAATGAACCTTGGACCTAACAAAAAATATGTTTGTTTCCTGTGACATGGTTTTAAAAAATAGGGTAGGTAGGTGTCATTCGGTATTTCATTCACCACTTCCGTTTTCATTCGGAACACATGACGATTATAATCCGAAAAGTTGCGTTTGTCTGTTATCGGAATACCTCACCTAATATGAAATTAGGCAAAGCCTATGAATGGGGAAGTCGTTAAAAAATTCCTTTCATTCTTTCCGTTTTAAAGGTGTCATCCGGTATTACATCCACCGCGTCCGTTTTCACTCGGAACACTGGACGATTATTATTTATCCGAAAAGTTGAGATTTGTTTCGTTATCGGAATACCCCACCTATTATCATTGAGTTACATTGTAAATGGCGGCGCCCGACTAGAACTGACACTGAAAATTTCATTGATAGGTATAGAATTCTATATATTTTTTAATTGTTTTTTATTTGATTTTCTTTTAAATATACACGTGTAGTCTATAGCCAGGCAAGCCAAAGCCCGGACCCGCTTGCGGGCCCGGTCTTTGACTTCCCCGTATTACCATTGAGTTACATTGAAAATGGGGACGTCCGACTAGAACTGACACTGACAATTTTATTGATAGGTATAATATGAAATTAGGCAAAGCCTATGAACAGGGAAGTCGTTAAAAATTCTTGTTTCCGTTTTAAAGGTGTCATTCGGTATTATATGTACCGGCTTCCATTTTCACTTGGAACACTCGACAATTATTATTAATCCGAAAAGTTGAGATTTGTTCCGTTATCGGAATACACCGCCTTTTATCATTGAGTTACATTGTAAATGGCGGTGCCTAACTAGAACTGACACTGAAAATTTCATTGATAGGTATAGAATTCTATATATTTTTTTAATAGTTTTTTTATTTGATTTTCTTTTAAATATACACATGTAGTCTATAGCCGGGTAAGCCGAAGCCCGGGCCCGCTTTGCGGACCCGGCCTTTGACTTCCCCGTATGAATATGCGGTACAAAGTTTATTATGTTTTCCCCTCAAATAGTTTAGGGTCAGTGGCAGAAAATAAGGTAGGTAGGGACACCGGAGACAAACAATTTTTTTTAGGCTTCATCCAAGTACAAATCACACAGAACTAGGTGATCAGTTGATAAGAAAGCAAGCATTGCTGATTCATAAAAACAGGACCTTTGACACATTTTTGCTAATTCTGTGGACTTAATTATGGACAAAAATGGTTACTATTTTATTTTTTTGCAGATGCACATAAAGCAATAATGATGTGATAAAGTGATAGATCTTGAGTATTGTTGGACTCTTAAGATGACAGCCTACAAGTTTACATCACACAGGCAGCTGAGAGATGCTATCAACAGTGTAGAGAAAGTTCAAAAACAAAATATAGATGAGTATTCTTGGGGTCATCTCAATGAAAAGAATTTATTTCGACCTCCCATGCACCTAACACAGGGTGGTGGGAGAATATGGAAATCTTCAAAGAAAAAGAAATCAGTGGTGAAAGATTCAGACTTAGTTCCAGGGTTACCAACGCCAAGGCAAAAGCAAAACAAAGAAAAGGGAAAAGAAATGAAAGATGTTCTGTATGAATTTAGTCTTGGAACTATGGCCAGTGTTCCTATGCCATCGCCAAATAGAATAGAAACACCTAGACGTGAAAAGATAAACAGTTTCCGAAAAGAAACCACTGATGTAAGCAGAGCTTCAGAAGATAGCCAGAAGTTAAGAATTGATTCTGGAAAGTCTATCTACTCTCAACTGGATGATGGTATTCTAGTTGAGGAGCTAGGAAATCAGGAACTTATGGTCAAATCACCTCGTGTCCAACAAAGCTATTTTCCTCCTGCAAGGTCAAGGCCATTTGATTCTGATTATGACATTATGGCAGATCTAACACAAACATTAGATGCTGAAGGTTATCTTGTACAGAAACATTCTTTTTTACCATCATTTACAAGTGGTGTAACAAAATCAGACCAGTTTAATAAACTAAGACAATTTGAGGATACAGTATTAAGGAAACAGGACTGTAGAGAAAGGAAAGTATTGTCAGGGGTTAAGGCAGTGGAGCACCTAGAAAAGAGACTTGAAGAGGTAACAATATTGTAAATATTACCTTGCAAATAGAACCTTTGGTGTAATTTTCTATGTATTGAAATAATAAATATTTTATTTTGCTGTGGTTTTACATCACACCAACTATCCAAGGACATGACACCAGCTTTACTGGTGGAGGGTGAAGGACTTCAGGTGCCCTTTTTTTTTCTCAAGCACAGGTTGTAACCTAAGTAGAACCACCAACCTTCCTTAAGCTAGCTCTATAGCTTCTTTGTATTAAAGAATCCAAAGTCCCCAACAGTATTTGCACACATAGATGTGAGGGGCAAATGACTTGAAGTCAGCAGCCTTAATGTTTTGACCATGGAGGCAACAATTAACTGAATATATATATTTTATTTACATTTTATGTTCATGTTTTAATGCATGATTTTTCTAATATGTTTAGGACCTGGAAGTGATGAATCTTGGAGGTATAGGACCAAACTTTCACAAGTTACAGGTGTTCAGTAATAACTTTGAAGACCTTATTGATGAAACACCAACATTTGGCTATATGTTAAAATGCATAAAGGTGATAAATCTTTTTTTTAAATGATAATGTATAAAATGATGTCATGTACATCAATTTAAGATAAGGATATACTTTGAATACTTCACATAGTAGCCTCTTCTATTACTACTGCAAATTAAAATATTTTCAGCAGCTTTTAATTTAAGAAATAACTTTTTTCATTGGACTTAACTTGTAATTATTTGTTTCACTACTTCATGAATAACAAATATTTTGAAGCTGATTGTCATACTGAATTTGCATCTATTTTTATTTTTATATTAGAAAAAGTTATTGACTTGCAGATCTATAAATTATTCATGCTATTATTTTAATTTGGACTGTTATGTTTGTTATTATGTAAACATTGATGTTTTTGTTGACAGTCGGAGTATGATAACTACATCACCAAGTTATTAGACAGTCAGACACCTCAACATAGCCGTCTGTTACGTGATCAGGTACAACAGATGTCTGCCCGCGGAACCTCAAGACCACAGGAACTCGGGGAGGCGAAGAAAAAAGTGGAAAATTTTGAAGAAGAGGCTAAAGAGCTCTTGGAAAAAAATCAAAAGTAAGTGCATGTGTACTGAAGGAATTTTAACAGTATATTATCTACATTGATTTCTCATATACATGTTATGTAACTTTATAAGTTAATTTAACGAGCTAAGGTTTTAAATGTAGGTCTTCAGAGATAAACAGGATTTGCTTGTAAGAATAATTATTAAATCATGTTCAAATTGATTTTTAACTTTAAGTATAGATGCTCTATGACTGAAGTACATATTATAGACTCTATATAGTTTACCCTTATATTGAAATACTTTTCAAACTTGATTTTGTAATTTCAGAATTGTTATGGAGGTCTTAACATAGATTATATTTGTTACAAAAGTGTATAAAGTGATTGGCTTTTAAACACTTTATTCTTACCTTAGTTGGTTTAATATTTACCATTTTTATCTCCAGATTAAGGCAGCAAGTAAAAGAGGAGGAAGAATGGTTGGCCAATGTTCAGAACCAGGTATGTTTTATACACATAAGTCATATATATTCACATAAAAATATCTAAATAAGCCTTTGCACATAATTATCCCAATAACAATGATAATTTATTGTTGTAAGAATGATGATGACGAAACAACAGGTGTAGTATATACAGGGGGTCTTTGACAAGAAATTAATTGACATCACAACTTCTTACCATCAAAACTGAAACCATACAATAATCTTTATGGGTTTTTTTTTGCACACATATACCTATTTTTCAAACTTTCAACCTGTTTAAAGAGATAGAGATGGTGTTTGAATAAAATTATATGGTATGTTTGTACAGTTTCATTTTAACTTTCATGCTAGAATATAACTATCTAGTTTGTACCAAAACTTGGTGTTTGAATTAGTATAACTGTATTATATTATAACAGAGCCACCATCACTACCAGTGGTCAGTATGTTTGTGGATGATTCTCCAGTAGAACTGGCTGAGGAGCTCGAGCATGGTAAAGCTCTGATTCTAGAAAAACTAGACGCCCTGAATGACCTTCGTAGAAAGCTGAGAAAGGAATATGTTCCACTGACGGTGTGCACTCATCTAGAACAGTGTATTAAAGAGACAGAGGTAGGCTTCTTTGTCCTTGTTATAAAACAGTTTAATTTTCTTTTTAATAAGTTTACAACCAATGCCAACCAAGCACTCTAATTTTTTTTCATCAAAAAATGGAATGATGATCATATTTTTACATAAAGGAAAGGCAACATACACATATCTATTCCACAAAGTTGTTGAATAGATAGTTATGAATTAATTGATTCCAGAGTGATTTTAACATACACATAAAAACTAGCAAAGTTTAAGTTAAAATGTAAGACATTAATTAGTATGTT